TTTCCTCTCCCTTTTTTTTTTTTTTCCAGGACTTGACACTGTATATTTTTGTTAGACATGGCTGCATTAGACAATAACAATTACACTTCATCCATTAATATACTACCTCAATACCTCCTCCAACGCAATGCTGTAATGGACATCATAGCTGCATAGCAGTTTGTGGGTCCCTCACTATTGTTGTACTCTAGCCCACTTATGTTTTTCATTTTGTTTTTGTGCTATGTTACTGTGGGATTAGCTGCATTGCAGTTTAATAGTCCCTCAGTTACTTTGCTTAACCATTATCCTCACCTATTTTATGTTCAATTTTTACTTACAACATCCCCCTCACACACCATCTACTCCTTCACCCACTGATTCTATCAGTTGTTTTTTTGTTTTGTTTTGTTTTTTGTTTTTTTTACAAAGGTAGGACAGCATTCTTTGAAAAGGCCTGGACTAAACTTTATTTCCAGCTTCTTTTTCTTTTATTCAAAAGCATTTTCTCGGATAATTTTCTCTATTATTTTTAGGGCATCCAATCATCAGATAGTAGACAGACAGAATTGAACTGAATTTCCGTTTTAAGCTTTTATATCTGAATTCAAATTTCGTACTAAACCTGGGTTTTCTTAACCTAGCTTTGAAGAACCCAGCAGCCCCGGGATTAAACGCTTTTCAATAAAAGTTGTTAACTGAATTACGTCGTTGTTCAGCAAGACCAATAAGGTGCATGCTCAGAGTCAGAACCGTAAAAACAAGTTCAATCTTCTCATCAACAGAATTTCTTCTGGAAAACGTTGGGTTTCCATACAATGATAATTTAACCTGATAGCAGCTGCCAAAAGCTGAATACCCAATATAATTAGAAAACTTATATTGGCACCACTTCCTACCCACGGGTTAACCAGGTGTTATCAGCGTTTCTGCAGCAAATAAGCAATTTTGGCTTGTTAATGTCAATGCTCTAGACGTTTCCATCAAACGGATGCAAATAAAGTAAATGACTTGGCGTAATTTCACTTTACCCATGTAGACGATTATGGATTAATCAGAGACCAACTTAAAACATACACTGGTTGCTAGGAACAAACTTCAATTTATTTCTTCTCTGACTACGAGAAACCACTTTGAGACTCATCAATCTTGTACTCAGGATCCCATAGCTACTGTTATATAGACCAAATTTATCCTTAGAAAGAATTATTTGGGAAGTGAAGAAACATTACTTAGGAAAGAAAACTGCTCTATGCTATCTTGTTAAATATGGACGTAAAATTTTTAACTTTTACAAAGTTGATATCAAGAATTACAAGTCATAAGAAAACGATGTGGTTAAATAACGAAAATGTACAAAACATTCAGAAAATTATATTCGCGCTTTAAAACTAACAAAACAGCGGACATTTCGCGAAGCCATGACTAGCTTCCCCGCGAAATGACGTCTGAGGATTGAATGCGAAAATTTCATACTAATGATGGGTCAATGTTTCTGATTGGTCGTTCCTCGAGGGAAATTTGCATCAACCAAGTGGAAGTACCCAGCAGATCTGGGTAGTGACAAGTCATCAGTATGGAATTTCTGCATTTGTTTCGCTGGAAACCAGTTGTGGCGTCGCGAAATTTCGAAGGTGTTTTCTCAGCCTATAATGATGCCTCTTTTTAATAAAGGTTCTGCTTCCTAAGTTTTTTTTTTTTCGAAACAGTACAATCATACGTTTATCATCCATCCAATTTTGCTTATTTTTATGCTAATACGTTAGGGATGTGACACAGATCAGCAGTTGCTTCGACTGAGTTATAAAATTGTTTAGACGCTCTTGCTAAAAACATTTCTTAAAGGTCTCTAAATTATAAATAACCTTTCAAATAACCCTAAATTTTTCATTCATTTAACTCATTTCTCAGCTCAGTTTCTGACTGGCTTTTTCCCGACTTATTCCTCGTAACCTGTAAGGGCTGACCAAATTTGGGGGATAAAGCAATTATTCCGCCACTGACGTCCGATACGGGCGTCAGTGATGGCGTAATGGCCAAATTATCCAGGATTTGACGTCACCTTAGACAGCAGCCCTTCCGCTTAGCTGAGAATAGGAAAAGAGTTCATGCGTACGTGAAGACAAAATCGTAGAATTGCTGACTAAAAAAGATAGCAACAATGAGCAACAATACCACTCCACGGAATTCAACTGCTTTTTGAACTGCCAACCCACCGAACTAGCAACGTTTTAAGGAATGTATCGGTGGAGGTGAAAAATAAGGTTTTGAACAAACTCATCATTGTCTAGGCAAAGAATCTTATCGAGCATTTCCAAGCGGCGAAGCATTCTCTTACGAAAAGCCAAGCTCTTAACTCTCTCTCTCTCTCTCCTCTCTCTTACGGACACCTCTACGAGACAGACATCTCTTTAAAACGGTTACCTAGAGTTAGTCCCTGGCTTTATTCACTCCGTTTAGTCGACTCTCTATAACAATATCGGTAAATTAATGAATATCCTTCTAAGATTAACATATAGTGAGAGTCCCAGCAGTTTATCCCGCTAAGGGACGGACCATAAGAAAACTTATAGGGGGGAGGGGCGGGCGAGGTACAAAAAAGTATATCGAGCTAGGGAGAATTAAACGAAAAAAGTAAAAAAAAAATAAAAACGCCAAAAAAAACCCTAAAAAATACTTATGCATTAGCCTTTAAAAAATTCATACAAGGGAAATTTTAAAGAAAAAATTTCATGTGGTTTAAAAATTCCCCCAATATAACAAGAAAGATAGACAGAACAGAAAAATATAAAAAAAAAAAAAAAAAACAAAGAAATCCCCATAAAATAATAAGTTTGTAACTTTAAAAAAAATTAATTTAGAGAGATTTTAAAGAAAAAATTTCTGGGGGTTTAAAAAAGCCCCCCCCCCCCCCCACCCCGCCACCATAACATTTAAAATGGTCCGTTCCTAGGAGAGAAAAACCAATTTCAACCATGTAATGGTTCGAGGTCCAGATTATGGCTCTGCCACTAACTTGTTGAAACTTGTTGTTGTGGCTTTCAAGCTTCTTCTCCCATCTTTGTCTTCTTTAATCACTCTGATTTCTATTTGTTCTTCTCTCGCATTCATTTCTACGCCCCCGTGGTCTCCAAAGTTGCCTAGTAAAGCGAAAAAATGCATGAGCGTTGGAAGCCAGGAAAGGGCTTACGTGACTAACAGTCGAACAGCTCATTACCATTTGCCCATTCTACGTATCTTATTGTTTACTCCTGGGGGGGACTCCGCATATGAAAGGGATGGCGATGCTCGTCGGAAATTTTGAATTAAGCCCCTAAAGGAGACCGATCCGGGCGGGGCCCAAGATTTTTTGACCCGTAAAAGAGACCATGTTGAAAAACAGGCAATATATATATCTTTATATTTTTTGGCGTGCAACTATAGACGAGACCTTCACGGCTAAATATGATGGTGTTTTGCCCAGAACACCCTAAATGAGACCAAAATCCGAAATTTACACCCCTACGCGAGACGACGAGCATCCCCACCACTTTCATATGCGGAGTCCCCACCCCCCACCGGGTTGTTTACCTGAGACGAGAATAATTGTGATCTTGAATCAAAATCTTTTTCTTACCTTCGTCTTTTCTGGGAAGATTCCTGGTCTTCATGAAATCCCATGCACTGCCTGCCACAAACATCAACACAACAATACCAAAAGAAACGTACATGATAATGCTGATTATGTCTCGATAGTCAAAGCCTTTTCTTGAACCATATTCGGTTATCTCAATTTTGGAGTTGTCTTCGCAGTCCGGAGCTTCTTTATCATTGGATTCATCTCCGCTGTGATGTTCTTTCACCATTTTCTTGACACAATCCACCAAGGAAGAACCAAACTTTTTTGGCTTAGTAAATATTCGAATTCCAACGTAGTGCTTCGTCAATGCCCGTACAAACTGGAGCTTTTCGAATGTGTTGGCATCAAGTTCTTCACAGGCGTGAAAAACTATTCTCTCTATTTCACGAGTTCCTTCTAGCAAGTGCTTGGTCAAACTTCCGTTGGACTTTATCTCTGAAACGCGTTACACATTAGTGCAGATGTTGTTAACTGTAACATTAGGCAACATCAGATAATGACGAGGGACTTACATTAGGTCAAGCTAGGTTCCAAGAAAAGGCGGCGTGACTCATTTTACCGATAAAGCGGGCAGCAGGAACGAGTATGTCTAGTCGTGTTTTACGGACTTTTACAGGGTCTGTCATGATTTCTTGGTACACGTCACGCAGGGGTTCTTTAGGAACTTTAACATAAATCAAAACAATTGTTTCCGGGCCATGATACGACATACTACGTTTCCGTAAGGTCTGGATATATTGAGGGAAGGAGGAATTTAAGGTGTATTGGCAAACTGAATTTAGGTAATGGAATATTACTACCACCAGGTCATCACAAAATTAATCATCTCTAGATTACAGTACCTATTATCTTTGCTCCTCTAAGTTCTTCTCCAAAGTAACGCTTGCCATAAAAAGGAACTGCAACCTAGTATTGAGGTATAGTTATGATTTTACATTTAGGATATATTTGTTGAGCAATACTGAGATTAAGTTTCTGAGAAAACTTTAACGTTTCTCATGATAGCATAAAAGGCAGCAATTAAATTTTCTGGGTAAATAGGCTTCTCCCTAAAATTGAATTGGGCTTTAATCTTAAGACAGGAATTGTGGGATGACCGGCGTTTCTAATACTACAAGCCCTTCAAAAGTGTCTCTAACATATTTGTGACCAAAAGAGGAAACTTTCTAGCACTGAGGGCCAGGCCCTACATGGAAGCAGAGGCTCTTCAAGAAAAGGCAAAAAAAAACGAATACAATACAACCTAGACGGTTTTTCACAAGTTTTGTTTCTAATCGTTTGGCAAGGATAAAGCTCCCCAAAGTCTCAAAATTTTGCAGCCGTTTGTATGGTGAGAGGATAAGATGGGGGTTATTGAAAGGTAATTTTGTTATCGATATTCTCTGTTTTTTATGTTTGTTAAAACTGTTTTGTCATCTTCGATCCGTTCAGCTAATGATATGGAAAGCTTTAACAGGCATAAGAAGCTGTTTAAGCGTTTTGGATCTACCGTTCCACCTTATCATTCCTCGTGTCCACAATTATGTTAGGCGGGAGGAAATCTTACCTTTTTCCCCAGAAATGCATTAAGAGGCACCAATTCTTTAGACGTCATTCCAGATGTAACTTCAGCAGTAAACATTGATAGAATTATCATGCCAAAAATCATCCAAAAGGCGGAGTAAATACGAGCCGGTAGAGACTTGGGAGTCTTATCTCCATATCTGGAGACAAAGGGAAAGACATTCAATACTGCATGTGTGTACGTAGCAAGTCAACGAATAATTACAATAGCCATACCAAGGTACCGGTCTTGAGCTCGTAAGCATTGTTTGCTATAGAGGCAAGATTACTTTTTTAATATTATTCTTTGACGCATATTATGGGATAATGTCACCTGAACGTTTGCCATTAGTTTCTTACAACAGTTACACCTGCAACACAGATTGAGGGAATGTGCAGCTCTTGACAGGAATCCATGTTCAAGTTATAATCGTCGTCATCTGGTCATGTCTTTTCGTTTCATTCAATAATAACGCCGCCATGCTTTCTGTGCAAGTCGTCCTTTTTGTGTCGATAATCTTCTCTACTCTTGGCCATACTCTTGCTCATCCGACCTGCTTTATTCCTGCCGCTCTCCACAGAACAGTCCCCTTCAAAGTCGTCAACGGTCTTCCTTTCGCACTTCTTCTTGCTCTTCAACCCTAACACCTCCAGCTTAGAGCAGCTACTATGCTGTCATTCTCACCCGACCTTGAAAAGCACCTAGTGCCCTCTGCAGTCTGTGCAATGGCTGCTTCATCTCTCAGTTTCTTTGTTAGTATTCTCACGTAAATCCTTGAATTTGGAATGCCATAATGCAACCTCGGTACTTTCTTTTTCTCTCTCCTTTTCTTAACTATTTCTGACGTTTCATCAACGATTCATGGTCGTTTGCTCGGTCTCCTCGTCTTCCCAAAAATCCTCTTTGCATATCCTCTGTATGCTTCGAGAATGTGCCGTCGGTCACATATATACCCTTACACTTGGAATCCGTTCCTCACAGTCAACTTTGAACTCCTAGTGAGCTTTCCAATCTGCAGCTTACGTACTTCAAACCTTTCCCCTTTCTCTGGCGTCTTCTCTCCATTCCTCGCCAAATTTAGATTTTATCCAGTTTTAACCCCATCATACCCTCATTATTCTCGCGTCCAATATAGATATTGTCATGCAGCCCTTTACTAAAATATGGCCATTTTTAATTTCCTCCCTTTTGGAGACCTCCAGATCACCTGGTGAATCTCGATATGCGGAAATAGCGCTCCAGTGATACTTAGACCTTCAATATTACATAAGTCGCGTGGTCTCACACCCTTGTAATGCATGACTCAACACAAAGTCTTCTAATTATCTAGTTCCTGTTTGTGTTATCCTCACTAAGGGTAATTGCTTTTAGGAATCCACTGAGATCATGTCTTCAATGTCGCAGAATGTTAAGTATTCCGCTGAAATGGTTATCCTTTAGTTTGGCTTAAAGTGTAATGTAATTCGTTCGTGTAAATGCTTTTACGAGGGCCGGTCAAGAAGTTCTGTCATTTAACTTATATCCCCTATGGTTCACCTGCAATTTCAAGAATTACAGTCACATTCCCTCAAAGTAGCTTCCCTCGACTTCTATAAATCGCTGCATCCTCATCCTGCACTTCTGAAAGCATTCTTGGTACTCTGAAGCAGGTATGGCTCTCATCTCTGCATGCACAGGTTGAGCAAGGTCTTGGATCTTTGAAAAATGCCTCCCAGCGAGGGCTGATTTGACTTTTGGAAAGGGCCAGAAATCGCACGAAGCCAAGTCGGGTGAGTATGATCGATGTTCCATCAAATGGATACCATTGTCATCAAGGTACGTCTGTGTAATGCGAGCTTTGTGGGGAACTGTGTTGTCGTGATGCAACTGGATTCGAGACCGACGTCGAGTCTGTGCCGTGGACTGAATATGAAGAAGAACTTTTGGTAAAACTGAAGTAGTTGTGTAATATGCGGCAGTGGTTGTAGCTTTGTTGGGGCATCATGTCGACAACAACAGGCCCCTGAGTATTGAAGAAATTGGTGAACATTCTCTTTCTTGAACGGAAACCTGTTTTTAGGACCTTCGGGTGTGATTCATCTTCGGCCACCCACACCGTGTTAGATTGTTTATCTTTCATAGTGAAGAAAGAAATCCAACATTCGTCACCCGTAACAACATCAGAAAACCTCTAAAGGCCATCTGGTTCAAATAGTTGCAAGAAATTGCGGCAGATTGTCACCCTTTGTTCCTTCTGTTCTGTTGTTAACTGGTGGGCGATCCATCTTGCGCACCTTTTGGACCAACCAAGCTGCTCGTGGACGATAGCATGTGCCGACTTCCGCAGCTTACACCAAGTTCCAAGGCTAAGAATCTGAGTGTTATAGTTGGGTCTTCTGCTATTAATTCTTCGGCTTTCTCCACAAAACTGTCGATCACCGACGTCCGTGGCCTCTCAGCATCTGGTTCATCTACAACGCTCTCTCAGTAAAATACTGAATCCATATCGCAACTGTGCGAAAGGAAGGTGAAAGGTCTCCATAAACCGTCACAAGGTCTTCATGGACAGGCTTGCTAGGAAACCTAATTTATAACGAGTGTAAATATAGAAACGAAAATTCTCCCTTAAAGGCTCCTTGTCGCAACTAAATCAGCATGTAAAGGACCTGACAAATTCCATACGGGTTTTATATTAGCACTAAATTTCCTAAACGATTATCTGTTACTGAGGTCTAAATATAAGCATAAGAATGAAGAACCCTTTTTCTTGGAGAACTTAGGACTTTTCTTGGTGACAGAACTTCCTGATCCGTCCTCGTATGAATTACTAAACGCGACTGGGGCAATTTTATGTTTAAACTGTTGGAACCAAATTAGAGTTTCCTACTCAAATCACGTGACAGTACTCCTTCTACTTACCCAACAGTCGTCATCGTCACCAGTGCCCACCAGGCTCCTTCACGAACTCCTTCCCAAAAAGACGAGGGAAACTGGCGCTGGTTCGCTCTATGATCCTGATTATAAATCAAATACAATCAATAATAACAATTTTTTTCCCGTCACCCAAAACCTAGACTAAAGAAAAAAGTAATAGTAGGGTAAACTGATAGTTTTGGGATACACTTGGTAAAGAAAGAAAAACAAAATGATGAGCTCTACTGAAGAAAGGAGGCTCAAGCAAACAGAATGAAAAGCGGAAAAAACCGTTTGGGGCCGTCACGAAAACACCGACATCAGCTGGAACATGTTCCTGCTATAAAGGCTACTCAAAATGCAGATTTTAGACATTATCTACTACTAGCCTTGGAGGTATGCATGGTTTGCATTAAAATTTGGAAAAATTAGCATAACGTCAAAACAGTGAATGTGGCAACTCGGATTTTTGGTCGGTTCCTAGGCTAGATTCGTCTTGAAATTTCAAGGCGTTGCAGTGAATCAATCTCAATGAAAGTTTCAGACATTAATATATACACCATGAAGATTATGTGATAAGGTTTAAGAAGAATTCTGTCCAGCCGTTTTGGAGATATACAGAAAAGCACTAAAAGTCAAAATTTAGAATAAAGTTGCACTTAGACAGGTGGTGAGAAAACAGGTTAGTTTTCAGGATCCCAAGAAAGGAAAAAAACCAAAATTTCCATGCTTCGAAATATGATATAAAGCAGCCTTCTGACGCTACTTAAGATTACTTTGAGTTCAGTATTTAGAACTTTTTTATTAAACATTTTATCACGGCCACTGAAAATATAAGACTTATTACTGACATCTTTACCCCTTGTAAAAAGTAAAAAAATTGCAATATTCTTTATATTATTCTGGTACAAGATTTTTGTCCGACTGAAAATTTAAATTGCCCAATTTGCTGGTGGATTCCGTGTTATTTAAATTCAAGAATACAGATTTTTTTAATTCTCACGAAGGTTATTCGTTAAACATCGCACTTTAAGATCCTGGTGTCGGATTTTCAGTAGCAGGTCTAGATCGCGCGAAATCCGGATTTAATCGATTTTAAAGTTTTTTGTGAAAAACGTCAGTATGGTCTCCGAGAAACTGTATCAAAACACCTTAACTAGGTATTATCTCGCTTTCAGCTCAGCCAGTCAGACTCGGAGGATAGTTAGCCCGAACATCGCATTTCCTGCATGCCGCACACTAAATAAAAAACCACATTTAAATATACGAAACCGAGGTATTTACTCACCATTAGCCATATGAAAACTCCTGATATCAAACTCCAGACGACACATAGGAACAGTGTTACCCACATTCGGCTGAAAGTGGAACGGACCACCGTAAACATGGTGAAAGACTGCTTTTGCTCTGCCAGGTATGCAGGTGGAGACTCATAGCCAAACACAGTCTCGCTTTTATCGTTAGTGTAGTAGGGGTACCAAATTATAACCGAACGCCTTCCGTCAGGTAATTTCTTTAGGCACTTTTGTGACGCCATTTTCAGGAAAAATGACCAAGTTTCTTTTTTCCATGCCTCTTGGACTAGATCGTACTTCGTTTTAAAGTTCACTTCTTTCCATTTGACTCTAATTTCGTCGAGTCGTTTTGTGCAACTTTTTCTTTGTGTTACAGAATTATTTTCTGGGCAGGTAAAATCGTTTCTGCAACATACAGTTCGTATTTGTTTTATTGCGCTGGTATTTGCTTGGTTTTTTAGGCACCAATCCATTATCTGCTTCCTGCAGGAAACGTTGTAAAACTGGTTTGGCAAAAGGCAATCTTTAGCCTCCTCACAGCATGTTGTTAAAGCTTCAGTCAGGTTTATGGTGCTAGCATTTTTACAGCAGAAGTCCCCACAGCCCTTGATGACTCGTTTCTTAGCATCATTTTTGCAGTCACCTGAAAGCAATACTAGAATAAACGCCAAAGCAGTTATACTTTTCATTGTGTCGCAAGGTGGAAATAAGTGCCTTATCGCTACATGGCTCTTGTGTTTGTGTTCTCAAAGTGCATTTACACATCAATATTTATAGAGTTTTCGCATACATTTACCACAATGATGATCAGGGGCGGGAGGGTACTCCAGATCTAAAGTAACGGGGATGATCGAAAGATTTTGGGGGTTTGAAATTTTCAAATTTTTTGGCTATGAAAATTGGACAAGTATTGTTTTTGGGTGGCTTGATTTGAGTAGGGATTTCTTTGGGTATTCAAAACAATCTGAAGATTCGTGGTAGCTCCTGCGTATCGCTGCTTCGTAGTTCTGCACCTTAAAGTACAACCAAAAAAAGTACAACATGTTATATCATTTAATGGTTTTTGGAAATTTTCAAGGCTCAGAAACTTGGCATAGGATTTTTTGGGGGTTAATTTTTGGTCCAGGGATTTTTTTGGGTTTTGTTGGAAGCCCTAGGGATTTTTTGGAATTTTGATTTTTGCTCCCATTCGATCATCTCCGTCACTTTAACTCGGGGACGGTAGTCCCTTTCCCCCCCCCCCCCCCCCCCCCCCCCCCCCCCCCCCCCCCCCCCCTCCCTTACCGGCTTACTGCCTACCCCCCCCCCCCCACCGGGCGGGGGAAAAGTAATCAGCATTATTGGCACAAGAAATTTTTGTTGTTTTTCACCATCTATAAAAGAAAATGATCAACCCATCTCCTATACAACAAACACATGACACACCAATAAACACAACACAAGTTTGTTTGTGTTTGATTTTGGGGGCGGTGGTTTTTTTGTGTGTTTGTAGAAGCATTGGTGTTTTGTTGTGTTTTTTTTTTTTCCCCCCTTGTTACTCCTCCCGCCCCTTTAACCCGGGGCTGAGCCCCCTTTCCCCCCCCCCCCCCCCCCCCCCCGCCCACCCCGACCCCCTTCTTTTTGAGATGATGATAGTCATACGCTCTCCTGCTAAGGAGCGTGAGAGTAAACTGTTGCATTTAGGAAAGCAATATTTGTTAAGTTTTCCGCCGTCAATCGAAAAGGTACTAGCCACCTATTTACCTGAAAAGACAATGGGAACAACGCTTTGACATCAGACCCTAATAGTAAAAAAATAAACACAGCTCTAAATGTATGTGAAAATGTGATCAGACTGCTATAATAAGCAAGATGATTCCACCGGCTATAATAAAAAAAGCAAATAGGACACAATCAATCTACCGGCCAGGAGAAAACTACAGTCGACTGAACCCGGTTTGTCGACACGCTTACGATTACCTCTGGATTTAAACAGATTTGAAGCCTGCGATATTTCTCATTTTGTTTAATATAAAATTATAATTTTATTCTCACCTAGCTGAGTTGCTCAAAGCATGGTTAGCTTTAACCATTGGTTAAGCAGTATCAAAACCAATACGTTGTCAAGGTATTAAACGCTGGTTAACGCTAACCATGCTTCGAGCAACTGGGCCCTGTTCTTTTTTTTCCAACCCTCTGTTAACCTTAGTATATACTATATGTAAATAATATAAATTAATATTTTATCTATGCCTGACGCGCCTCGATTAGTGTTGCAGCTACTGTGCAGGTCAGCACTATTGTACAAATATGTATGTGAAGTAAAAGGTTGTTGTTGTTGTTGTTGTTGTTGTTTACGGACGCTTCTTTACTACGGAGAGTTTTCCTTGATTCCAGGAAAAACTATATCTTATAATTTGTTTTTAAATTCAACCTTCTGCATACGAACGTACACCTGTCAAACGTCGTCAATGCGGAGAGCAGACATCGATAACAACCTCACAGATGCGGACGCTATTTAACCACCTGTGCACAGCAATAAGCTTTTACTCACTGGTTTAATTTTACCCACAAAATAGACAGTCATTCCAGAATGTTTTGTGCGTTTTGTGCGCTGATTTTTGTTTGTAAAGGTTCTACAAAGAATGTGATGGATAAAAAACAGTGGCTATGTGAAATCTAACGCATAGCAATAAAATTCAATAAAAATGTCCACACGTTCATTATTAAAATACGTGTTGCCTGCGAAGGCGAGGGCAATTAAAGCGCTATAGTGCAAATCACCATTCTACAAGTAAGAGGCGGAAAAGGGAAGGAGGCGACTCGATAAAAAAGCTGTGTGCCAATAAGATCAAGAACACGTCATCCACTGTATGACGATCCAAGTAAAATATAACATTGAACCAGGATTGGATTCAAAATTCAAAACCGTATCCTCGATTCCATGCCCTAGCCTCTGCTTGCATTATGGGTAATTAACCTTGTGGTTAAATGCATAAAATTTTAGTGTGTTTTTTTCTGTGGTGGTAATAAAATCTTTTAGATTATAGCACAGTCACAGTGATAACTAGACGAGATGTCGCCAAATCTAAACGCAAATTTAAAAACTGTGTCAACAAGGAAGTTCTTGTAATTACTGCACGCGCAATGTCACTCTGTAATATATAAATGAGCGACTTCGACCGGCGTGTTGATTGATATAATTTTGTGGTGTAAAATGTGTATGAATACTTTCTCAATTACACGATCCGTTTAACACAAACGGGCACTAGTGCTGTAATTTCATGGTTCCATTTACAACAATTATTTGTCCGTATTATGAAATAGTCATTGCGATCAGTGAAACATATTGTTAATTAGTTTATGTGTGCATATATAGCCGATATTTTTTAGCTGTGATGTGAGCTTAGTCTTCGGTATCAGAGACAAATCGCCATGCTCGATACTGCAGGCCATAACTGCGTGTAACGCGAAAGGGAGTGAGGCAACTGACTTACAGATGGTGCAAATGCGATTTTTAAAAATCAAGCTACAGGCCTTTCAAAAAAAAATGAATATGCTGCTGTAGCCGGATTTTAGTAAAGTGGGGATGGCTGTGAAAGAGAAAAGAAAACTTCCTGGTTTAGAGATTTATTCATTAATAATAAAGAAAATTCATATACAGCAGTTAAAATTGGGTGCAGAATTCTAAACTAGGCATGTGAAAGAGTAGACTGCAAAACAGTCCGTATTTTTGCGTATTCAAGTGCGAGCGAGTAGTTAAGCAAAAGGTCTAGAACGAGGCTGAAAACAGAGAGCGAGACTGGGGAGATACGCTAAAAATAAAATAAAATATATTTTTTTTCTATCGCCTCACAAGCCCTACGGGCGTGTGAGGCTCGCGCGCCTCGCGCGCGTAAAACTCTCACGCCACACTTTACCGATTTATTTACTGATTTGAGAAAAAACGGACTGTTTTCCAGTCTAGTGAAATGCCATTTTTCAATAGAGGTTATACGAAAGGGGTACCTTTTCTGACAAGAATGTTATACATAAAAGGGGTTGGACCTCCGGGAGGGGCCTCCCCTTATTAAACTTCGTTGAGTGCTGCCCGGAGATTTTGCCTATGTGACAAATGTCAACGAAAATTATTGTTTAGCACGCATATCGAGCCCGGGGAGGTACATCCCTATATGAGTAACGGGGGTGCTCGTCGTTCCTTTTAGGGGTTCAAATTTGTGGATTGGTACCGCTTAGGGTGCTAAAACCAAAATTGACTGATTAGGATAAAGATTTATTACAATACTTTCAAAAAGTCCTTGAGAAGAAAGTGTTCGAAAGTTATCTTTATCACTATTGAAATTTGCAGTGCCAGTTGTTGAATTGTTACCTCTTAGGGTTGGAAATGAATTTGGGACACGCCCATAAAACAAGATTCTGGTACCTTTTAGGGGTGTTCTCGAAATTTTCCGACGAGCACCCCCATCACTTTTATAGGAGAGTACTCCCCCCCGGGATCGAGCTACAAGATTATCTCCAATACGGGGCTAAAACTGAACATGAGTAATATGTTGTTTTTCAGAAAAACCTTCCTCTCCCAAAAAAATGTTTCAATTGTTCAATAGGATTATCTTTATTGCGTTTTTGGCCTGTAATACATAACACACATTCCGTGATCTCTAATCGGCTTGACTACAGAATACAGAGCAAATTTTCTAGGTCAGGCAAAGATCGACACGGGTTTCTACCGTTTTACGGAAAATCGGTCAGATTTTTCAAAACAACTGTGATTAAAAGGCTTTCCAAGTTGAAAGAAGGAAATAAAAGATGAAATAAGGCGAATAAATTTGGAGCGTATTTTGCAAGTTTAGAGTTCCATAGCAAGAGTAGCCTGTGTAGCATGGCGGTTTTGGTTGGGCACGCTAGGTAATAAAGGCAGGCGAGGGCAGAGAAGCCGCGAGGAGATTGGGGCGGGATGAGCAAACTCTCCATTTTTTTCGGTTTGGACAGTAACAATCCGCCAATTTGCCATGATTCATCCGCAGAGAATGTACTGGCCAATGTCCTGTCTGTCTTATGACTCAGGAACCCAAGAAAGGGGACTTTAAGGAGTTAAAATCCAACAATTTCCCGGGGGAGTATGCCCCATGTTCCCCCTACAAGCCTGCGCCTTCGCTTGGGAAATGGGTCGGTATTTATCCTAGATGCGCGCCTGTAGGTATATTCGTTGGGGCGGCCTGCATTGGTCGCTTGTTAGTCCCGACTGACGAGCCTTCGAGCCACTAAACTATATTATCTTGACTGAAGAGCTACCGAGCAACAGAGCCACTAAAATATACGCCTTTCTGGTTCTTTAACATTCTAACCGCGACTGACGAGCCATCGAGCCACGAAAATATATACCTTGAGTTGCTCTTCAAATTTTCTACTTTTACGTCTTTTTTATGTCTGCCTTATACTTATATGTCTTATATCTTTCTCATTCTTTCGACAATTGTCAACCTAGACATGACTAACGAGCCACCGAGCCACTTTTGTTTAATGCACTTATGGTCTAGTGTATTCCGTAGTTGCTAAAACGGCAGTAAATTCCTCACAAACAGGATCCACGAATTTGCCCAAAATGATCGCTTCCTCAAGTCAGTCAATTTTGATTTCAATTAATATCAGTAAACTTTACTCCAGTTATTTTAAAGAGAACAGTGGTGGGTCTGCTGGGGGTAAATATAATTTAAACGGCAGAAATCTGAGTACAAACAAGACATTTACGTTGTTGAGGCGTGGATAAACAATAAAAGATGTTAATATTTTTTAATTTTTTTGTCTATAGCTGATTCAGTGACCTGGAACTTAAAAATATGGTTTAAGCAAGAGGAACATTCAAGAGAGATGCAATGAATTTACAGTACGCAATACATTTTCCCCGAGTTTTAAGAGTAAAATCTTTTGAAAGTAGGCAGGGGAGTTCCTAGGCATTTTTTGTTCGTAAGCTTTGGTGGAGCATATTGAGGGGAGATACAATATGGGCGCGTTCGCGCCCATAAGGAGAGCCCAAGGCACGACATGCTAGGGAGGTCCGGAGACATGCCCCCCCACCCGGAAAATTCTGAAAATTCAAGTACTCTGAGATGTAATATAGGGCAATCTGGGTGCTTAAATTAATTGGCAAATGCTAGGATTCCATATTCCAAATTGAACAAGAAATAATGGAACATTTAACAAAATGCAGCCAGTTGTGGTTGTGGTCAACAACAGCAACAACGTAACGACCTGACTAGCGCGACACATTAGTTGCAAACATATCTGAAATCTTGGTGGAGCTCAAAGAAATTCGAAAGCTAGACGTCTGTTCTTTTTGGCGCAAAATTCGCGAATCACGGCTTCTACATCAATGGGTCTATATGCCTCTGTAAGCATACATCAGGGCAAGCGCTGCGAGTCGCTCTGTTTTCATCGTGGAACGTAAGTACGTCTTCACTCTGCGCATCGTGCTAAAAGATCGTTCGGGGATAGCAGTTGACACTGGCATTGTCACGAGGATGGTAATAATTGTGAACACGTTGAGATAAAGGTCCTTATTAGCGTGCTGGAGTGTCTCTGTGAGATGTGTCACTGGTTTTTTATCAGTTGAATGAGACCACTTTGTTTGCCACCTTAAAATTTCATTGTCAAAATCTCTCTTCTCTGAAAGATCGGTTTTATAGGTTTCATAAAGCTAATATATCTTGTACTCCGCTGTTGAAGGCATTCAGCTTTGCTGGAACAAGATATTGTCTTAAGAAACTATTCTCTTGTAACAGAAGCCTGTCATTTAGTTCTTGTACAGGGTGATCAACCAAAGGAAAATACATGGCTCTTTTCCAGTACATCTCTTTTCAAAAAATATATATCACAGCGTCCGAATCACTTGTAAGCCCGTGCTTATTTGCTTAAAGGCAGGTACGCCCCTGGCCTGGCAGGTGTTATAAATAATTACAAACAACATAATTGCAAGCAGGTAAGGCTTGCAAGTCGCTGAAGAAAGGATTAAACTCTGCGCAGATGTACAAAGGACCTGAAAGGTTTCTCGTACTTTGAGCAGTGCAAAGCTAACTGAAAGAAAGGTGAAGGAACGGGAAACTTGGGGGACAAAAAAACATAAAATAGGCAAAAAAGGACAATAGAATAGAACATGGCTTGAGCTAACTGCTTGAAGCCTCGATTAGCAAATAGTGCCGCTTTCGGTCAAACTCATGGTTCTTGTAATACGTGATGATATATGTTTTTATAAAGCTGCTACTATTGTTGTTGTTTCGTTTCATGAATTAAAATATATTAAAATTTAATATCTTGACACGATGAGCGCCATTTGCAGCTAATTAAGTTAAACTGGTGGACATATTCATAGGTCATTAAAGGACAAAAAGATAAACAGGTAACGTTGAATCGTATCAGTATTCCTTTTAAAACATGGCGCAGAAAGATATGATGAATTTTTCAGCATTAGGTAAAATATTTACAATTGTTTTGCTACAAAATGTTTGCAACTTTAAAGCAACAGTTGGAGTGAGCACATACAGGAACAATGGCAGCACATATTTTTGTCCATCGTTTGGCAAAATTACTCTGCGTTGGCATGAATTCCACCCATTTACTCACTACAACTCATCAAGCAAGGTTCTTGAAGGGAATCTTGTAAATTACATGAGAAAAGCGCTTAATATCTGCTGTCCAAATTTGGAGATCATTCATGAAAAAGTAGATATCAACAGCTCTTGTGAGATGGAGATCCTGATCCGTCAAACAGCACCTGACGAACCAAGAGTATATTTTCCGATTTTTGCCAACCGAGGAGATGGTGAACAGTTTGAAAGACGATTTCTCGGACTGTTTGATTCTCCAGGCCCCGCAGTTTTAAAAGTCAACCATGGAATCGCTTCGTCGTCAAATGAAATTCTCTACTTTCTGAAGGACGTGTGGACAATAGTAGTGATCAGTTTTTTACACGCGGTGTTGGCTGGAATGATTATCTGGTACCTGGTATGTACGTCAAGACACTCCTTTAACCCTTATTAATAAAAACCTATAAGGGGAGAGTGGGAAAATACGAAAACTCCAATAACGTGACATCATATGTTTTAGGTGTATAAACTGAGGTCCATTGCCTAGGTATACAAGGCGTGGCTCAGGCTGAATTTCAGTTGAGACCACAGGCATGGTAATCCAAAAATATCCGCTAAAGCAGTAGAATTTGAATGTGAGTAATTACGATATGGAAGACAATTTATGTTTGAGTGAACAATAGGATATTTTATGTACTATGCCATGTGTGGCTGAATGGATCATTACTTAGATGTCTCTTCTGTTTCTGAAATGACGCACGATTTAAAATATTTAACGCTAAAACAACAAACTTATTATTTAGTTACAATATCATTCAACTAAACTGAACCGCAGTTAGCAGATGGTTAGTCTATCACCGGATTTTGAAAAAAGGAAAAGGCATTCATATTGGTGAAAACTGAAAAACTACGAATAATCTAAAGAGAAACAAAACTGGAAAAATTGGATAATATATTCAGATCTGTTAAATTTTAATTTCACACAGTGTTTAACAACCCTGTGGTTTTTAAATGCTAAGAAACGTACTGAAAAAATAATAACTATCGAAGGCAATCACAAATGGTTTGCATTAGAGAAAAGCTCATTTTAATCTGACACTGGTAGTAACTAACTAATTTAGAGCAATTAGAAGGCAAACTTGCGATTTCTATCTTCTAATAATTGGCCAATTAGGTCTTCTAATTGTTTTGGTAAAATGCTGCTACTATGTATAGCATGTTTTAGAGCATACTCGGGGGATTTTAATCAATTATTTATATGGTTTTCACCAGCCTTTTCCTACCGACTCTCCATTGTTGGTAAATAGTAGTGTATCATCAGAATGTGGGATTTGCGATAAGATACTGCTAGAATGATAGAAAATGGAAGAAGATTGGTGAAAAACGTCTTGTGTTAAAACCTGTTGCACATTTCATGTTCCAGGATCACGAGTCCAATCCACAGCAGTTTCCATCTGGATCGTTATATGGAATGGGGAACGGGATTTGGTGGGCTTTTGTTACCATGACAACTGTTGGGTAAGTTTCTATGGCTACCAGTTTACATATGTATATATTACTTGAAAAGGTCCAGTAAAATGAGTGTCGCTTTTCGATCCTACTCATTTGCATGGATTAATAAACACTGGGCTACAAAAAGACAAAAGTTCACACTAATTATCACTACCTTCATATTAAATGTAGTCTATACTTCTCTTGTACTGTTTCGAATCTGGTCTTAGGCCTTCGGGGAAGAAGCGAGGAAGCATTTCCCGAACATCAGTAGTATAGTGGGGACCAAGCCTTTTGTCTATATTTCATGAATAAAATGCGCTGTAATCTCATTGAGATAAGGTCATGTGCTATTTTAGGTGTTTTAACCTGTTGAATAGGTTTTCTATTTATTTTAAGGTCATGGAATGTCTTGCTTACTGATTGGTAGACTAAAAAAAGTATTCATCGGTTGAGTTATGTTGTGGAAGGAATAAGCGCTAACTCGTCTATGACTTCACTAAATCGTAACGTAATTATGTTAATTCATTTTACTTCCGCTTTAATTGTCCAAACAAATTGTTACAGTTACGGTTTGGTGGTTCTTAGGCGCAAACATCGAGTATATTAATGTGGATGAAGGCAAACTAGCTTTATCTTACGCTAAAAGCAAGTTTTTACTTACCTCTCTCGCCTTTCTTCTCCTCCACAATTCAATAGACTTCTTTAGTTTGTACGTTTTGTTTTCCCGATGCAGGTCATGTCCCCAGGGGTTGCCAACGAGCAGCCTGGAGAAGACGCTAGGCTGCGAGTTAGGCAGCAGCCTAATAAAGCCGTGCGCGAAAGTTCCAAGGCAGAATACATCTCGAATCGATGTAACATAAGGTAGTGTAGGTAGTGTAAGGTAACGTTTATGACGTAATGCAGAACAGAGAATGCATTATTTTCGAGCGAACACGTGATACAGAACAGAGAATCCACGAGCCGTGTGCGTGTTTATAAGTTTTCGTGCTCATCCAGTCTTCAACCAATCACGCTTATAGTTGTCGCATTTGCCCCCCGGAGTTTTTTATCGTCTGCCGCGAAGAAAAAGTAATAACGCCTCAAAATTTATTGTGTTTTGGAAGCAAAACAGTTCGGAAGGCTTCATGGGCGCACCATAAATGTTTTCCTAAAAATCAGTCTTCATAAGCTTTACAAAGAGACCAAATCTTTTTGTTGGATATTCGCGGACTTTAATATGATTTTTCGAGGATTCTAAGTTCGCTTATAAGACCACCAAATTTTACGCAAAATGCCATGTGCGCAACTTCAGACAAAAACGCGAACTTCAATATCTCAAAAAATATGCTATGTTATGTCGGGATTTCAAATTCTTTATTCAGTAGAACAGTTTAGTTCACTATTTTCAAGGTAATTTTTGCTTATTCAATCGAATTGAGTTTAAACTATTTTTCGTAAATTAAGGTAATTCATGACATTTCTAGACAAATTGAACAGCGCTCGCGTGTAGGTGAAATCTTTGCTCTTTAGCACTTAGTGATGGCGGAAATTAATAATACTCTAGAGAACTGTTCCATTTAATTTTCGTGTTACTCATTCCAGGCACGTGCATATCTACGCAGAATTTATGAGAAGACAAAGGGTAAAGATCCCCCAAGACCTCTGTTGGGAAAACAAAACTTACAAGCTAAATACCACATTTAGGTTGTTTCCTTCTACCACCACCACCACGTTCTTTTCAACTAGTAAATGTTACAGTAAAAGTGAGAGTCCTGAACAAAAACATTTCTTGACGCATTTACTGAAATTGAAGGTACGGTGACAAATCTCCCCACTCTACCCTGGCGCGTGCTTTTGCAGTGCTGTGGATGATGGAAGGAACAGTGCTGACAGCTCTGTTTGCTGCACAACTAACAGCTGATCTAACGGCAGATGAAATCACCAAGGAGCTAAATCTCATCGACAAAAAGGTGTGCGAGAATCTATTGTTACTTTAAATTTTGTTTGTTTTTTTGCTTGTTTGTTTAATAAGAACGCGCTATCAAAAAAGAAAATAGCAACAATTAAACATCAAGAGCTTTTTTGTGTAGGTTGGAGTTCCTCTTGGCATGGAAACATTCCTGGTGAAAGAATTTAACTATGCTGCCCATTTTGAAGGTAAGGGCTTTTTCATTTACGATAATACTTGTTTAAAGGAAAATATATACTTTTCCCCCTACTAAACACTGATATCCATCACCAAAATTTGATTTCAAATGCCTTCGAAGGAAGCAACGAAAAATGTTTCCATCGAGATTAGTCTCCTAAACAGTGATACTGTGAACTTTATCCCAAATTCGCCAATCAGTACAGTCAAACCTCGTTAATACGGACCGCACTAAATGGAACACAGAACGTGGCCGTATTAACTCGGTGTCCGTATAAAGCGGGTCATCTTATTAAAGTAAAAAACCACCTTTTATCAGATAAAAAAATGCCAAAGACATGAAAAAGGGCATTAGAATCGTATCGTCATATTAAACATCTCTAATCTTCACAAAGGCTCTATTCTGCGGAAACAATCAAAAATCGTCCATTTATTCGCTCACCTTTCACAGCATAATTTGTTTGATGCCAAAAATTGACGTCCACAAATCCCTGGGGGGGCGGGTACTGCCATATATGGGCTATAAAGGTATGTGCCGCTGTGAAGGATATGGTTTTCAAGCAGTTTACTCTGGGATAGGGTGTATAAATCAGAGAGCTTGTGTCTAGAATAGGGTATCATTTTTCAGGAATCTGATCAGTTGGTTGAAGATTTTATCTAGACTAGGGATTGTGGTAGGATAGGGGGGATTTGGGGATTTTACTCTAGTTTTGGGTAGCAAAATTCAGCTGAACTAGCTCTGGTAATAGGTTAAGGGTTCCAGGGTCCCAGCGACACATCCCCACCCCGAAATTCCTAACGTACCCCCCCCCCCCCCCCCCCCCCCCACCACCCCCCCCCCCCCCCCCCCCGGGCTACAAATCATCCTATCCCGTGTGTTGTAGCGCTGGAAACATCGAGATGCTGTCAACAACTGAAGTTTTTTTAACTTCAAAAAGGAAAGGTCTGCTACAGCACACAGTTGATAATGAAGTGTTCGCATTAACGAGGTTGGCGTTCTACGAGAATTTGTTGATTGGGCAAGAAATGAGTTTCCGTTGTCAGCATTAAAATCAAATGGTCTTGTAGTAATATAAAGTTCTTTCAGAAGTAATTGAAAATAATAGTTTGTGCATTTTGTGTTGTATGGGGATTCAAAAATAGGAACGGAACGTGCCGCGATGGAGGGGTATAAGCGCAAGGAGAAAGAAATAGCTTCCTCTCTCCCCTCGTGCACATCGACCGAACCTCTCCCCTTGCTGCCGTTCATTTTTACGCTCTGAATTGCTCATGCGTCTGCTGCACAGGCCAGGCTTTTAACTTTGTGTATCTTCCCTTTTTTAAGAACTAGAACATTTCCATGACCTGGAAGAAAACATGGAAACTTACGAATCATTGGAATATCTCATTTTTTTCGATTACGTGGAGGCACAGGAACTTCTCAAGAATGGGCACATGAAAAATATTGTTATAGAGAAAAACATCGCCCATAAGTATTCAGTTGGCATGATCTTGATTGGAAACTTTGTAGCAGATGATGAAAGCTTCTTTACATGTTGGAGACGTGAACTTGTGGATAACAGAGAAATAGAGAGGGTAAAGTGAAACTTAATTAGTCTTTAATTTAGGAACAGCAAACCACCCGCCGAATTAATTTTCAATGTGAATAGTAATCTCTACTATTCTCTGTTAATTTATATATGAACTTCTGTATGGGTATTTCTGAGAAAATAAAAGTAGCGACGACCGCCTTAGATAAAGCGACGATCTTAGAAAGTACTAAGTGAATATCGCATTACCATTTCAGTCAAGTCTAACAACGTTAGTATAGTGCAATAACGGCAAATAAACCTCCCAAAAACGTGTAGCAAGTTCATTGTTGTTGTTTTGCTTACTTTCTCGTTTCTATTGTCGTTGTGGTTGGGCTGAGCTCGCTACCACGTTACCACACAAGGCAATTCTTGATACTAAAATGCGACGAATTCGTCGGAAAAACCGACGATTTGATGGAAAATGTGCAAAGAAATCGACGTCAACTGGTACCCATAGAGAGGTTCATATACTGAAGGGAGCTTTAACGAAGCACTCAGTAACCCCTATTCATTCCTTTCAAAGGGCTATTTCTGTTCAGATAGCGATAAAGTGTATTGTCCTTCCATGTACAGTGAAGCCCAAGCCCCGGTATAACCAAGTGCCACGAGATTTCATTTATATCAGACATAGACATCGACATACTCTATTTAGACACGGTTAAAAACGTCAGTATTTAAAATGATATTCAAAATCTAAACTACTGTTTTACGTTTTTTGCCGTGTGGGTCAACTGAGTCGAAGGCATTGGTAGAGTACCAGGGTTTTTAATATGGGGTTTCCTAAAAGTTCTCATGCGTTTTACCGCCGTCAGTTCATTGTAAATCGCAACTTAAAAAATACGTGATTCCAACTGTTTACTGCCAGCATCGCTGCCTTGCATACAATGTATTTGTTGAAGTTGGATAGCGCTATCCAGGCACCAGATAAATCACTATCCGATGGATAAGTATTAGGGAAACCAATTGCACTATCCGCTGGATAGAGATTTATCCGGTGGATAGCGTTATTTACCTTTTGAATTACTCGGGCCTGACTGATACTAAAAAATCAATAGTGGAATTCCCTTGACAGCTGCACCGCTCTGAACGGTCAGTTCTGGTTAATGGAAAGCACCCTCAGTTTGAGCCACAAAATTCTGCACTTACATCTTTTGCATGCTTATTTCAGGCCCTTGAGAGGTGTGCAAATAAAGAAAACGCGGAGAAACCTACCAAGGGGCAACTGAGTTTCAGTACCTACGTCGTCATAACCAGCGCTGTGTGTTTAATGTTTTTTCTGACCTTGATTGTTATCAGGGAATACCGAAGGCTCAAAAGGCAGAATAACGTTGTAGCAATAAACAACTCATGAGATATAAAGCTGCTTTGTAAAATAGTACTTGTTATGAAAAATACGCTTTTATTTATTGGACGAAGAGAAAGGTTTTACGTACGAAGGTGGTTCAACTCTCACTGGACTGGATTGGAACACCAACATGGTCGCCTTTTCATTCATGGTTTCAACCTCGTTCCCAGGGTTCTTTCTCTTGCTTCGAGAAAGAGCTCTGGTTGTGGCTGGCAACATGGCTCCCAAAAGCTGGGAACCAAAAATAAGGGCGGGGAAGAAGAGTAATAAATAAATGTCGCAATGACAAAAGTTACTCTGTCGGGGCCGGAGAGCAGTTTGCCGCCTCGTTTATTATGAGCTGATAGTGCGGGTATTTGCAAATGTCAACCCACACCCGGAAAAATAGTATTGCATAATGCAAGAGAGGGAGAGAGAGCGATGGGAACGAGGTTGGCTTTTTACTTGGTATATCTTGCACCAGCCAATAACTTAACCAAAACTGAAAATACCATAACAAATAATTTTTAATCTCTAAACTGCCGTCTGGGTGGTGCTTCATGTAAACATGACTTTTGCATTATCTTTTCCTTTTCATGAACTGCACGTGCGGAGTATGCAAATTTACGAAAAGCTGATTTTTCACTTGCAAATCAAGATAGATTTCAGTATCCTGTTGGCAGAACGACGAGCAGGTCTTTTTTCAAGTATCTCTAAGCAAATAACCTGTTTTGCCTTCAAATAATTTTATCGTAACTAACCGAAAGCAACGCTGTTTGCAAGCAACTGAGAAACTCGATCGCTATTTGTTTGAAGCAAGAATTTTCTCCACACCCCAGATAGTATTCCATCGTCCAGTCGACAAAATTTAGTGGAGGACTTACTCCTGCTGCGCAATAGGCAACTTTCGATATATTAAAATTCAGCGTGACAACGAGTCTTAGAGGACACAAACAAAGAAAATGAATAAACCATGATTATTCATGTTTATTCATTTTCTTTGTTTGTGTCCTCTAAGACTCGCTATCATGCTGAATTTTAATATATGGAAAGTAGCTTATTCATTGACACACATTTCCACGTGACCAGCCGGAACCAGGTTTATTTCTCGAAGCAAGAAAGAGAACCCTGGGAAAGGGGTTGTCATCGTTTTGGAACATCAAGATGGCGGACGTGACGTCATATCAAACGCTTCATTTTTGCCTAGTTTCTACATGGCAGTTTTTAAGACCTCCACAGCCATGCATTCCAATAAAATGTCTGAGATGAATTCGCTTGAATCACGTGACTCTAAACAAAAATGCCGTGGGCCAATTAAGGGCTTTTTTACCTGAGTGACAAAAACGCAACAGTAACTACAGTGACCCCGCTCACACGAGTGAAATTCGAATGCAAGCGAACGAAGGATTGCTTAGCCTGCTTTGGATGGAGTCAAGAAGCTTCATGAAGCACTCATCCAACAAAGTGAGGAGTACCCCATGGCACTAAGGACCTGGGCCTTATAGACAGTTACTCTTTCTTCCCTAGTCAGTTTGTGAGCTACCTCGCGAAGAGCTCCAAGCTTCTGCCCCACTCTCATGCAGCGACGTTAGAAACGTGATTGGTCCAGGTGAGCTTGCAATCAACAGTGACGCCCAAAGTTTCCAACTCGTTGTTTTCTGCCAGTTTGGTACTACCAAAGAACAGGTCACATCTTGTTGGATTCCGCTTTCTAGAGATAGTCATGGCCTTGCACTTTGATGGCTCGAATGTCACTTTCCACTTGTCCGCCCAACTATTCATTCTATCCCCGTCTCTATTTAGGCTTGAAGTTACAGCTTCTCCATCATCAGAAGATCTTATTTCACAGAAGAGAGTGGAGTCATCGGCATACAAGTACGGTGGATTCTCGGACTCATTGCCTAGGCCATCAATTAAGATAGAGAACAAAAGTGGGCCAAGTATCGAGCCTTGAGGTACAGAGGCATTGATAGAAAAAATACTGGAAGATTGGTCAGATAAAACTACTTGGATGACCTATTAGATAAGTAAATTTCAATCCAAGCCAGCAACTTGCTAGAGATTCCTTTAGTTAATTCCTTCAGTTTGAAGCAAGGGCCATTGTTCCACACTTTATCAAAAGCACCTTTGATGTCAAAAGCTATGAGTCGCTCTTCGTAACCTCTATCAAGAGTGTTTGACCACTGCTGACTAAAGATGGTGACAATATCAGCTGTGCTGTGATGAGGCCTGAAGCCAAAATATCGATCTGAGATAAGATGATGCAGTATTACGTACTTTTGTAGCTGGCTATTGATAACTAACTCTATAATCATGCTGATGTTACTAAGAAGTGAGATGGGCCGATGCATGGATGGGTTTGATTTAGTCTCTCTTGTGGACAGGTACGACTGAAGCACACTTCCACCGGTTCGGGAAGACTCCGTGGGAGAAGCATAACGCTAAGAGGTCCTGGCTAATTCGGCACTACACTCCTTCAGGACAAGTAGCCTTGTCTGAATTTAATTTTCTTAAAAGCTGTTGTTCAGTATGTCCTTGTCTTTTAAGACTACAGTATCCAGTGTTTTTGATGGAGTTACTTACACTCTCAAGAGTAGAATCCTCTGCATGTTGCGGTTGACATTTGGATGCAAAGGTCTGGCCAAGGTTTTCAACCTTTTCCTTAGCTGAGGTGCAAACAAGGAGGCCATCTTTCAGCAGTGGGATATCAGACCCTGCTGATTTTTCAGAAAGCGTGTTCATTAGCCTCCACCACTGCTTACTTGCTGAGGCTGCTCTCCGAAAGAGCCTCCTTCAACTTCATGTTATATTTCCTTTTTGTAAGTTTCTCCTCATGGTTGTACCTCTTTCTTGCTTCAGCAAACTTTGTATATGTTCTCCCGAGTGTTATTTTCCTTCATCGTTTTGAACAGGTGGCGCTTCCTGGCTGCAGCTTTAATTTTCTGCAGCGATCATCAAACCAAGCTTTGTCGCCAGTCTCAGTCCATAGCATCCAATATGATGTTGGTTAGGTTGCTACACGCTTGTTCTGAGTCATCAGTTGCGTCGGAAGACACTGGGCCAATCCGCTGAGGAGATGTAGCCTCTCATATCCCAGTAGTCCGCTTTGTCATAGCGCCAGACCCTCCTTCTGTAGGGCCTATCTCTGTAGATGGGTACTTGAAGTTTCACTAGAACTGGATTATAATCCGATGTTCCAAGTTTGGCAAATGTCGTAGCTGTGGAAACTAGGTCAGTAATCACCGATTCGAGGATCTGGTCATCTCTAGTAGGCTCAGTGACGATCTGCTGTAGTCCAAAGGAGTTGGCCATTTCTAGAGTGTGGCTTCCAGTAGCCAATCTGTGTGGTAGATATTGAAATCACCAAGCAGTACCACAGACTGGGCACCAAATTCATCCAGCTTTAGTAAAGTATAGGTGTTCAAGAACTCGATGATTGCACTGTTGTCACTAGGTGGACTGTAGACAACAGCAACTAACTGAGAACCACATCGTATCAGCTCAAAGTCCTCTGGGCAGTCTAAGCCTTTGTTATGGGAGATGGCAATTCCCTCAAAGCAGTAGACTGCAATACACCCTTTGAGTTAAAAAAATCTTTTAAGTTGAAGCAAATTTTTAATTCGCATGTACCATAGTATTTTTAATTTGCAGAACAATTTTTGATTTACATGTACTATATTTAATTTGCAGGTAATTTTTTTAGTTTGCATGTAAAATTTTTGATTTACATGTGTGACCCTTCTCGGCCACCGTAGGACTTTGACCACACAAAAAAAAAAACAGAAAAGAGCCATTAGATTTGTGCAGGTCTAAAGGTGTGTCAATTTGCACAGCTCTATGAAACGAAATCTGCCAGTCGATATTTTTCCTTCGTCCCTTCCCATGAGTCCCTGCGCGCCTTAACTTAACCCTCATCTTCTCTCACCCCCAAAACACATAAATAGCGACTGGGTACGACTCTGGCTTGAGGGCGCTATGTTATTCTTATAAGAATGGTTGTGGAGCACTGGACCATAGCTGAATTATACGTTGGTTATTAGATGCTACTGGTACTGAATGATCACTTCTCACTTGGATAACTTTCCGCCCTTCACCGAGGGCTCCTATTTAGAAACAAGAAGGAATTGAATCCGAAATGTGTCCTGAAATTTTTCTTGGATGGTTACTGGGGACACGACATTAGCCGAAGTAACCATAGTAGCATCAGCAGGTGTAGTAGGTGTAGTAGCTGTAGTAGTATACCTGCCAACTCTCACGCCTTAGGCGTGAGTCTCACGCCTGCCGGTTGAAAACTTCGATCTCACGCCGGCTCACGCTTGCGGGCCAATTTCTCACGCCTGATTGAAAAATGTGAGTTGTTGCCGTCTTACTTGACACAATTTCCAAAAATATTTTAACTCAGACCCATGTAAGGAACGAAAACCATGTGTAAAATGAATAAATGACAATACCTTCCTCGCGATCTCTGATTTTTGAAGTGAAAAGCACTGGGAGCGAGCTCGCCTTCGGCAGACTTCGGACGTCTTTGGAAGACTTCGGACGTCTTCGGAAAACTTCGGACTTTTTCGGAAAACTTCGGACTTCTTCGGGAATGTTCGGAAATGATCGTGTCGTCTTCAAAAATCCCAGCACTCCCAGGGTAAAAATCTCACGCTTATATCTCAGAAAAAGTTGGCAGGTATATAGTAGTGAGGTAGTAAATTTTTTTACAGCCACCACTGACAATTTAGCTGCTTTAACTACTTCACCACGGTAAATTGTTCGAATTATTTCCATTTCAAGAAGCCATTTGATGCTCACACTCAGGACTGATCCTATATTCAAAAGTTTTCAAATACCGAAATTCTCTGAAAATACTTTTTTCTAGTTGGAAAGTTTATGTATTCCTACAGAATAGGCCTGCTTCCTAATGTATTGAAGGAAATGTTTTAATAACAAATCAAGTTCATTCCTATAATACCAGAAATTCAAATACTTTGTACTTATTTTTTTGCATGAACAAATATAAGACTTTTCGGTATAAGATTTCAGGGTCCTAGAATTTTCAGTTCACTAATAACAATATACAAAGTGATGCTGCTTTCTCTCTTTTTAAATCCAGATTGAAAACATTTCTTAATAGGTGGTTTTCATGCAATCTCGGGAGACACAAATAACAATGGTGAAATGAACAAATGCTGGTGGACAAACAAAGCGAGCTAATGAGCGATCTTTTGTTTACCGTCCACCAGCATGGCGGCGATGACGTAACGTGAAAACCACCTATTCTTAGCTGATTCACCACTTCTAAACAATACTTGACTTTTGCTGCTTTTTGTCTGTTTTGCTTTGCTTTCTTTTTATCCTAATTATATTTTTAGTAAGATTTCGCCGTTTATTTATTCATTATATTTAGTTTTAGGTTAGAAAGGGAGCTCATATAATAAGTCCCAAGGGGTTTTTTCTGGCCAGAAAAATACTTTTAATTCTTTTACTAACAATTTACGTCTTTTTAATTTTTAACTATCATTTTTGTGATATATTGAATGTCTGTATGTATATACATATTTTTTTTTTTCTGGCAAATAAATAAACTGAACTGAACTCGGGAAATTATACGTTGTACAGTCCTACTTAAGACACTGGTTTCGGCTACTATTATGGGGCCATGTGGGGCAGGATCAGTTTAACTATGAAAGTATATACCCCCTTTCTGATCACCAGGGGTCGACATAAGAGGGTACGAATCTACGAAGGCGTCGGCGACAGCAACGAGGACGTCAAAAAAAGAATACCGGTAGATTAAATAAATTAAACAACAACTCTGCAAGTGCATCATCGCTTTTCTGTCAATTTTTTTTGCAGCTCCCTCCGGCTCCACCGCAAAGGCCTCTTTTATGTCGAAGAGGGAAAAATGAAAGCGCGCGGGAACGACGGGAATTGGCTAGGGTTTGACGTCATATCGGTACATGAAAACATACCTTATATGAAATGTCTAACAAAATCCAAAGCTCTTGTTAGGAAAGATGGAGGACATTTTACTGTTGTTTACATCGTTTCTGTAACGATCAGAGGGAATGCACTGCAGCGTTCCACAGAATCTGGGGCTGAGACACTTTAGGCGGAGATATCTGACTACGTATCGGAACTTGAGAAGCTCGGATTATGCTGCAAACCATTAGCAGATTGGAGAATTGCACGACTAATGTTCGAGAACTGTCTCTAACCTGTATTTAATATACAGAAGGTATTAACAGTATGCCTGTAAGTAATAACGGGGATAAAAGATCTGTCATATGCACTTTACCACTGGAAGTTGTTTCGTACATATTTAGATTTCTACCGACATCAGACGTGAAGTGTGCATCATTTGTTTGCTATGCATGGTCTCGTGCAGCTGAAGACCCCATTCTATGGAGAGATGTGTTCATTAGTCTTGGTACAAGAAGAGAACGGTTCTCTTATTTTCTTGTTGACAGCCTTGAGCGACGATGCATCCAGCACTTGAGAGTTAAACACATGTCAACTGCAACTCAAATTATTCAGGTGTGCAAACAGCTTGGGTCAAACCTCAAGACATTGTCCCTTCAGGGTTGCAGATGTGTTAATGACGCCTTACTTGAAGTACTGAGCAAGTATTGTTCAAACTTGATGCATCTGGATGTAAGCCGTTGCAGACAACTTGACGTAGTCAAGGAAGCCACTTGGCTCCACAAGTGCACTGCCGCCAGCTGGAAGAAACTCAGCGTCCTAGATTTAAATGGTTGTAAGGAAATGTCTGACATGCTTGTGTCAAAAATAGCCGATGCATTGCCACTGATAGTGGATTTGAGCATCTCCGGGTGCAAAAGTGTACACATATCAACATGGCAGAAGTTGGCAAAAAAGGTATCAACACTGAAATACCTAGACATCAGCCGATCTGACATGACAGATGAAACAATGCTGAAATTTTCTCAGATTCCTGACTTAAACCTTAGAGAGATAAATTTAACTGCTTGTAAATATCTGACAGATAATGGAGTAGTATCTCTTGTGAAATATCAAACTTCACTTGAAGTTATCAAATTAGCCTGTGTGCATATTACAAACACAACACTTGCAGCTATTGGCAAATATTTGCAGCAGTTAAGAGGGCTGGATCTAAATAGCTGCAGACAACTTACAGATGGAGCATTGTCAAGTGTTAAGAGACTCTTACTTAATTTAGAGTCATTGAACTTATATTCCTGCTATCAGCTGTCAAACAGTGGTCTTACTCAGTTCCTCTGCTGGACACAGGTAAGTGTTCCTTTAAGACAAAGCCAGGAATTCCAACATGCGACATATCCTTGAAACAGTCACATAGGACAGCAGAGATGCCAAACCCTACTGGGCCAAGTGCAAGTGTAGTAGTAGCAAAATGATGGGAGCATGACTTCATCCTCAATATGTGAAACAAAATGTTTTGAAATTCAGACTAGGGACCCTCCCCCACATTCTGTAAGAGGGCCTCAAGTAATGGAAGAGATCACCTACTGGGCCTCATCAGTGTTGTTGTTTCAGAACCTAACCATCAAGATTAAATTTTGCTTCCAAAATATTTTAACAACTTTTCCCCATTACTTCTATATGGAGCAATGGAATCTTTAACTGTAGAACATAACTACAATGCAGGTATCAATGTCTGGACGGAGAGAGGGTACGGGCAAAGGTGCGACATTTAAATTTTTTAGCACTTTTTCGGTGAAATTCCACACCCTCGGCACTAGAAAATTGTTCAAATCTGATCAAATATCGCTTACTGTGATCAACAAAACTGCAGTTTGGAGGAAAATGTGTGGTGAAAATCCCCAGAGAGGGGACAAAAAAGTGTTCAAATGCCACACATATGCCGGTGCCCCGCTTCCTCTTATAGTACATGTACATTTGTGGTCTGCAAATATTGATTTGGCAGGCAGAGTAATAAATTGCATTTTTTTCTATCACCATTCACTTCTTTTAAATAAAATTTATTTTATCCGCCAGTAACACTCATTTTCTAAGTTATTCAATCTCCCATGTTTGATTGTGTATCTCAGTTATTATGTTTATTTAAAAATTTTGTTATTTACAGGGAACAAATCATGACATCCCACTGAAAGTTCTTGTGCTTAATGGCTGTAGCTCCTTATCTGATGAACTAGTATCACGATTCTCAGGGATTCTTTGCCATCTTCAAGAGCTTGATCTCAGTTCCTGCCTTCATGTAACAGACATTGGACTGTCTGCTATAACATGCTCTTTAATAAACTTGCAACTGTTGAGACTCAGTTGGTGTATTAATATCACTGATAATGGCTTGAATGGAATTATTCAGTCAAGAGAAAAACTTCCGCCGGTCAGCCCTCAGAAGAAGACAATTTCACATAAAGTAGATGGAAAGCAGGAGAGAACCACTAGCAGTAAACAGGTGACATTTATAATTCATACAGCAAAGAATATATGATTAATATTTCAATTTCTGTTGTCTTGAGGTTGAAAAAGGAAGATGCAAAGATTAAGAAGGTGAATCCACCAAGCTACAAGTAAAATAATCATTGTATGCTTGCTTAAGGTGATTCCATAGTAAAAGAACCTAACATAGATTTTAGCTAAAACTTGGTACAATGATGTAACAAGTCAAGAAGATGATAAAAAAGTAATAAAAAGTGGGGGTCACCGTGCTCGTTTTGACGTCACAATGCTGACAAATACCGCTATTTAGGACCCTTTTACAAAAATCGCGGGCAGCGCAAAACTAGACAAAAAGGAGAGATTTTTTCGATGATGCATGTGACATCACACAGAATTTGACTTTAATGTTTTGTTTATCCACTTACGTACCAGAAAAATGCCTTTTAATGCCCTTGTTTTTACTTTACGCTCCAAAAGAATTAAATTGGACGCGCGCTTTTCGACCCGTGATGGCTCAATCCGTACAATTTAGTAAAATTACCAAAAAACTGAACATAGATTTGTGCCAATTTTTTTCTCATCGAAAGGAAGCACTGTCCTTATTAAAATCATGAAATAAAAAATGGGGGTCACCGTACTCGTTTTTGCGGTAGAGCTGCAGAAAGTGCGCACCAAACGCATTTTCTCCGATTTTTGAGAGAGGACTGGGGCGAGTTTTAAAATAGAATGTATGTGAAAGGGGGAAGAAAGTATTAAAAAATCCGTTTTTACAGAATTTACATCGAGATATCACATTTAGGACACAATGTGATAAAGAAAGTGTTTAAATGAAAATCAAAGTGAGTAAGCACAAGTTAAACATCCACTATCGAGGTTCTCCGAGAGGAGGTCGAACTCAGCAACACGCGTACTGCTTACGTTATGCACATTCCCAACACATTGAGTCTCACCTCGGCAAGAAACAACAGCAAGCAAAAATTCCAATGGCGTTTCTCTTCAGTCAACTTCATTTTAATAGTATTACTTCACATGCTCTTTTTTACGGCGGCCATCTTGTTATGCGCAGTAAGAGATGCGCAGTGCAAAACTAGGGAATCACCTTAAGCAAAGTACCAAGCTTTTTGAAAAAAATTCACTTTTCAGGATAAAACAACCAAATATGTCTATTTCGTGTCAAATCAGATGAAAAAGTTGGTGAAAGGCTATTTTTAGGTTTTTTGATTAACCCATTCGCCCCTGAACCGCCCGTAACCACCCATGCGGATCCACGTCCTTTCTACCCTTTGTGACATCATCAGTTTTAACGATCAAGGACAACTTTGTCCACTAACTTGTGCAGAGTGAAGAGACCTTTCAAACCATACCAGAATGAGCACAATTCAGTCAAGGACACCGGAGAAAGAGGCAAAAAACCATGTAACATTGACCTGAAAATCTCCATGAAAATCTTGTTCCATTGCTCACCTACCTTTCCTTTCACCTAATCCTAAGATCTTGAAAGCTTTCCTAAAAACTCTTCCCACCAAAATGAAGCCTACTAAATGCCCAGCAAGAGAGAAAAAGAATGAGGCAAGAAAAGCGAAAAAAGAAGGGAGGAGAGAAAGCGAAAAGTAAAAGTCAAGACTGCTGTGTCACTTTTAAACCCAAAAACTATCTCGAAATTTTGCTTTCTGCACATGCCCAAACTTCGCAAGCTGATATTTTGCATCTGGATCAGAAGGCCGTGAAGTGTACGACCTGTAAACCGGTTTGTGGTAAGTTTTAGCTCTTTATAGCAGGACAGTGACCGGAAAACCACTCGAGTACCTTCAAAACGTGTTTTTCGGCAAAATCTCCAGGAGCGAATGGGTTAAGGCAGCAGGAGCCTGTGCAGAATACCCAGTGGCTAAATACACAGGGCCCCCAAGGGACCATTTTTTTAAACCTGATTTAGTCTCTCCATGATCTTGCACATTTGCAAACTATCTATTATATATTATCTATTATTTTTGAAAGAGATGTCACTTTTAAGCTTGCCTAAAGATAAAGTTAATAATGTTGGCATGGATATGGTGATACCACCTACAGATGTAATACCCAGTAACATCATGTACAATGTACTGAAAGTTGATTAACTGTTTCATTACAGATTGCACATGGAATTCCCAACTTGAAAAGGCTGAAAAGTTTGGACATCAGTCACTGTACATGCATCACAGATGAAGGACTCAAAAGTATTTGCAAGTTGAAAAACCTCACATCCCTAAATATCAACATGTGCACACAGGTCTGTATCACAGAGAAATAGTAAAAATTGGTATAGTTTAATTTAGTTAAGATCTACTGAAACTACTGTGTTGAGTGTGCTCAGATACATGTACTTCAGATGAGTTCACACATCATCCCTAATAGTGAATGACCTGCATCTCCCCATAGGCTAGTTTCACATTTTAACTGATTAATGTTTATTCACATTGTTGCTGGCAGAGGTTGCGTGAAGCCTGCACTGACATCAGATTTATGTCAGATGTTACTGCTGGCACCTGGCATTAAAGTAACAACACGGGCTTAGCTACCAGCTGTAGTATGCACACAAAAAAGTACTTAAGGGATAGCTGAAAAACAGGTTCTTTAATTTCTTTTGTTGAAGATAACTGACAGTGGGCTGACTAATGTGGCAGAAAGACTTCACACTCTAAAACAGTTTTCATTCAGTGGATGTGCCTCAATAACAGACACTAGTTTGTCATCAGTGGCACTCCACCTTCAGAGGCTGGTGTCACTTGACGCATCAAAGTGTGATAGCATCACGGATAAGAGCGTCCTTGAGGTAGCAAAGTATTGTCATAATCTGACACACCTTGATCTGAGTATGTGCAGCCAGATTACAACAAATGCTGTGGATCAGTTGGAAATTAATATTCCAGGTCTTGCTTCATTACAGCTGCAATACTCTGGAGCTTGCTTATCTACCAAGATGTTTTCTGCTGTATAGAAGTCAAAAGACAAAAATTGATGGGATATTATAATAATTAGTCAAGAGGAATACAGTGTATGTAGGAATGACATATTAAACTGTAAATTATCAGTAGTGAAGCAGAGGATTGTTTCGTTGTTTTAGAAATGATCTCACTTTAATTATTCACAATCTTCAAAAACCTGAAAGTTAGTGTCAGTAATCTAAGGGCCCAGCGTTCATACAAAAAATTGCAACCATTTTTAAGGACTTTTGAAGGACTTTTAAAGGACCACATTTGATTTTTAAGGACCACCTACCAGGAATGTAATTTCACAGACTGTACAAAAATGCACATTCCCAGTCCATTCTAATGGGACTTTAAGGCTTGAACTGTTTGCTCCACCAAGTTCTCTACATTTTTCAATACACTTGATAGTTAATTATTGCATAAAACCAAAGAACACTTTATGTAAACCACCTTTAAGTTCTCTTAGCTATGATTTATATTCTGTCTTGGACAACAAAAAAGTGTAAAAAAAAAAATACTTTTCAGGCTGCTGCATTCAAAGTTGAAGAAAATTCAAGAACTTTTCAAAGGAAAATGACATTCAAGGATTTTTTTAAGGACATCCACTAAAATTTTAAAGACTGTGAGAAGCCTGAAGGCTATCTCACCCTTGGTGTCCAGGCGTAGTGCCCAACTACATTACATTAATGTAAACACCCTGTTTTGTAAAGTACACATGTCAGAATTCTGGGACAGTGCCAGTGACTGATTACTAAATCCTTTGGGTCTAAAGGTAGGAACTGCATAGACCCTGTATGCACTTGTGTTCTGATAAAATATATATTCTATTTTTCAAGATCTTTATTTCCAAGCTTTTTTGGAGGTCTGGAAAACCTGTTTGAATGAAATAAAGAAATAGTTTTAAAGATTAACTGTTTCAGAAACAAAAATCTAATAGCCCATGATCATAGCCTAAGTGCAAGTAATGGTCAATTCAGTGCTGCAGTAATCTTAGGTATCATGTCATTAATTATGAATTAACTCAACCGTACTGTATACAGTCAACTCCCGATAATTCGAACCTTCAAGAGAAATAGGAAAATGTTCAAGTTTTTAGGAGTTCGACTTATTGAGGGTAAAATTATATAGAAAACTATCTGAGGTGAAGTGAAAATTGCTTCGAGTTAGCGGGAGGTTGGAGTTCTAGAGGGTTCGAGTTACCGGGAGTCGACTGTTTATTAAGTATATTTATCTCACTTTATTTATTTTTAATATATAGAAATTTATATCTTTATTGGCTAGCTGTTGACATAATTTTTTCTGAAACTAACCCTGTTTTGTATTGAACAATCTATAAAATATGTTGAGCTGGCCATCCACTAGTACTGTAACATTCCTTTGGAAAGCAAAAGGCATCATGTCAAGTATAAGGAAATGTTACAGGGACTACTAACTCTTGTCATACAATAATATTGAGTGATAGAGATGAATGTCAATAAATGTTAATTACCAAAAAGGCTTCTATATGTATGACCACATTATGACACCTCTACAGCTCTGGGGCCAGTTGTTTGAGGGCTAATTTGAGCTAACCCAGAGTTAAATTTTAACCGGGGTCTCTCTTTTTTTTTCATCAAAAGCATTTTCTTGGACAATTTTCTCTCTACTATTCTTTTTAGAGCGTCCACTCATCAAATTGTAGACAAAAGGAATTTTAAAACTGAATTTGCATCTTAAGCTTTCATATCTAAATTCAAATTTCACACTAACCCTGGGTTATCTTAACCTAGCTTTGAACAACCTGGCCCTGCAAAGTAAAACTAAGACCAACTAACCTTGTATTCCACCACAACATCAATCAACCTCTGTTGGCCTTGAAGAGGCCCTACGTTACTTCCTATTTATATCTTTAACTCTTTCACTCTTAATACAGCAGTTATGTAGCCAATTAGTAAATAAAAAAATTTCAAAAAATCCAATGTTTTCTTACATTTCTTATTATGCCACTTCACTACTAGGCAGCAGCACTTTTCAAACATGCATGGTATAATAATAATCATTTAGTGATGGCAAATGAATTTATTTAGAAAACCATGGTTCTAGATCCAACTTTAAAATCTAGGAAACTTTTCTGGTAACTCTCAAAGTTTCATTCTTGTTTGTTTCTTTCCAACTTGAATTGGAGACTTGAACTTTTTGCTGCAAATTTTCAGATTTTCAAACAAGGGTCTCGGTCAGAAACTCAGTGAAATACCAATATAAGCCTGTTGCTTCCAGGGTCAGATTGCAATAACTTTTTAAAACAAGCTACTATGCATGTAAACTAAAAAACTATATGACTTTCAGTTCATCCACTGTATCTCTTGAATGATGGATACAAAGTCATCTTGCAGAAACCACAATTCCAAGGATATTGTTATGATATCGTACTGCATAAATGTACACTGGTATCCTTTTCCTTAGCCTGCGTAGTAAGTAAGTGTTTCCATATGAGTTTGTTGAGAAAGTTCATCCAACTTTCACACAATAACTGGATCAAAAACACTTACTAAATAGGCTACCTTTTTCTTGTGTAATAAATAAGTGTTTTAAGTTAATTCAGATAAAATCTCTGATTCTTCTGACTATTTGATAATGACTCTACTAAGAGCATAGTAACCGAAAAAGAAGATTCCCACAAGTGCAGCTATCATGTAACACATTAATTTTCGGTTTGATCGTCCAGAAGAAATCATTGTTGATAGCCGTGCGGCACTGCCACCCAACAGGCTTGAAGAGCTACTAAATTCATCTCCCTATAAAAACATTCAAATCAAAAAATTTAAGTTAATACTTTTGTCAGCCATTATAAAATAATAATAAAATTAAATGAACTTTGTAAATATATATATTACGGCCTAAGCTTCCCACGAGTCTTTCTTTAGAGCATTCCACTGGTGGGCAGAATGTCCTGTTCAATCTCTGTCAGTGACTCAGATTTTTTCTTTGTCCCACACTCATGACATGATATGACATGATAACATCTTTTCTCAATAATATTACAGTTCCCCAATACAAAAGGGCATTCAATCAGTAAAAAAGACCCTTAAGCCTTAAATATATACAAACTCTAAAAATATATACCTATATCTATTTAATCTTGAAAATACATTTTGCTTCAACCCATGTTTTGGAATTTGGGCCAGTTGGTTGGGATCCAGAATCCATCTCATGATCAAATCCAGTACAGCTCGAGGTGAACAAGAATTTGAGGATTCCATCACTCTCTTACAAAAGCTTACATCACTCATTTTCTTGAAATTTATGAAAATTAGCCAATGGCATGAAGTAAATTGTACCCCTTTCCCTGGCTTTGGTTATTTATTACAGACTGCTTTGACTGCCTTACCATTCCATCCAAGTATTTATTTTGTTGCTTGGTTTCATTCTCAATGTCAATGGCAATCTAATAAGAAGTAATAAAGAAAAAAATGATGCACTGTTAAAAAAATGAGCAAGAGTGTATTATCAGGTTTAAAAACTTGAGGGGAAGAGTGAGTTCACCTCAAGTTTTTAAACCTGATGATACACGACTGACGTTCTAAGAATGGCTTCAAAATCTCCCATATAGATCAACTCATTCTTGCACTAATATTTAGATTTGGGGTTATTTTGGTCTAAAAAATTGGATTCAAAGTTTAACTGTGTCTTTATCAGATATAGATATTAAAAACAACTGTAATTTCATTTGTTTTTCTCAAAGCATATGAATTATTAATGAGTTTTTCATGTGATATATGATATACTGGGATATCACACCTGTGCATAAACTAGAAATATTGTTGTGAAAACTATAAGAAAATACATAGCCAGAACAAAACTTTTTAGGAAACAAAACAGTTGATGGTTATGTGTACTGATACATCCAGCTGTCATGACTGTGATATCACAGTGCTGTCAACTCTCCCGCATAACCCAGGAGACTCCACGTTTTGGACCATATCTCCCGGTCTCCAAATTAGGGTCTGATATCTCCCGGATAATCGCCAAAGTTGCTATTTCTTGTAGACTTGACTTTCCGACCATAAGATGTCAAATATTTTGCATTGTTTGAGCTACTGTCAACATGGAATGTTTCCTCATAAATTCTGGCATGCCACTGTAATTTAAGCAACAATGTGGCTAAATATGAACTGTTTATGTTCTATATACGTTGATCGGAATCAAAAAGCACTTTGGCACAAATGATGTCATTTGTCGTGCAATATGACATCATCTATCATTCCTTCCCTATCAATTCTCAATATTTGATGATGTGGGGGGTTGACAGCCCTGTATCAGTCTCTTAGCCATTATATTTTTATTGCAGTTGCATACAACAGCACATAGAAATTTGCTCCACTTCTGCAGTTCAGATTATCTCATTATGTTAAGACAGTCATGACGTCACAAATCTATTGTTCTTTAGAAAATAGAGGCCATGATTAAAAAAACTCCAGCAATGACAAGAACTGAGTAATATATATATTGTCATTTCTAAGACGTTTTCCCTCTCAGACTTTATACTCCTTATAGGTTTAACAACATATTAATTAGTTTATTCAATGCACGGTTCTTAACCTATGCAAACACAAAATAAATTCCCTGACTTACTCCTTTCAAACGAGAAACTTTGGCAGCTAAGTCGTCCACCATTCGGTTATTTTCTGTTTCTAACATTTCATCAGTTGTAGTGCTCCTGGCCCCTGATGTATGATATTTAAGCTAAATTATCAATCGGTTTCAACTTGTTAGCTTAACTGTTTCTGATTATTACTTTAAAAACTCTTCTCCGAAAAACCACAGATCCTGAACTCTTCGTGCTAGCTTACAAAAAAAATGAAGAAACAGACAAAAATACAAAGGGCACAGTGTAAGCTTATAAACGTACTACAGCTATTAAAATCTCAACAAGGGATCGGAAGTGCTAGCTGATTGTACGAAATAATTCCACGTCACAACTTTTTCAAACTGTGTGAGAAAGCCTTATTATTTCAAGTCAGCATCTTTTGATTTGACAAGCTAAACTTTTTCTAGGTGGCTATCTTGAATTGGATGGACAGAGCTATGTTTGTTTCCCATACTTTTATACTCTACTCGTGATTTACATACCTCGATGACTATTTCCACCTCTGTTCGCCATATTTGTTTTTGTATCTTTTGAAAACCGCTGACACAGTTCTCGTCCAAGAGCCCGTCGACTCTCGTACCCAGAGCCCCGTCGACTTAGGGTCTCGGGGTACGGTAACTTTACAGCGCACCCCCACTCGTCAAAGTGAGAAGGAAAAAAAACATTGTGAGGGAACTTACAGCCGTAAGCCCCACGCCAGAGAAGCCCATATGACGTTTAGTTTTCCTTTTTCATATCTTATAGGCGCGGGGGCCGGGGGGGTGGGGGGGGGGGGGGACAGCGCGACCGCCCCGAGCGGGGGTGGGGCGGTGCCGCGAACTGCCACCACCCCCCCCCGCAGTAAAGAAAACAAGAAAAAAAATATGTGGGGGGGACTCCGCGCCTGGCAGCCCCCCCCCAGGGTCTCTCGTGTGTTTGTTTTTTTTTTTTTTTTGTTCTTTGGGGGGGGGGGGGGGGGGGGGGGGGGGGGGGGGGGGGAGGCGGCCGCTCCGGCGCGGGTTATTGGCTCCTGTACTTCACGCTCAATCCGTCCATACAGATTCGTTAACAAGAAAGATCTGTGAAGCGGCTAACATACGATCGCATTGATGTGCGAGACTGAGCATTTGGGAAGCCGTTTACGCTTCGCAAGATCCCATGAGAAACAATATAATCCTGTATCGTATGGGATTTTCTAGCCTGAGGAATGTCGGCTGTTGTCTCAGGCCCCAGGGGGGTACTCGATATATCCTTGGGTGGGGAGGTGCGGCTCGGCCCCTCATACCCTGACCCTGTTTAAGACAAAAATCGCTGATTTTCCTACCCTGTTTAAGACAGAATTCCGATTTTTGATACCCAAACATAAGCGCAGGCTGTTTATCGTCTAAGAACAGGGTTATGGGCTCCTGTCTAAGAAAAGATACCCCATTAAGTCTTTACAAGGGAGTACCCTCCCGGGTCTCAGGCTAGGGATTTTCCCGACATATGAAAGCCAGGCTTTACACCGGCTTTACTTTTACCGCGCCTCCGAGATTTCTGCAATGATTAATGATCATTCGACCTGTGAAAACTCAAATTTGTAATGTCAAGGATCAATGCAACAGGGAGATTATTCAAAAAGTAGATCGTCTCTTACATAAGGAAAAACAAAAAGAGCCAGTACATACATGACATACATGTACAGTTTATTTGGCAACTCCCAAGCTACAACGCTACGTGCATTTTACACTAGGCAAGAAGAACACCTACAGAAACTTTTTACTATATCTGTTCTTTTTCGCCCCACGTATGGGAATTAAATACGACATAAATTATAAATATACATTTAAAATAGAGAAGTTACAACTCTTGATCATATTTGTCTGTACAACCGCAAGATTAAAAACACCCTGTTTGTAATATCACTCCTCTTTTTCTCTTGCGTTTTTGAGCTTTCACTATGTGCTTGAAGTACGCTTCACTGCTGAAAATCGATGTATTTAAACTCGACATGAACAGAAACTTCATCATTTATACTCATACATTTTCAGAACAGCAAATGGTAACGGCTGAAAACAAGTACACAGTATAAAAACCCGTCCTCAGATATCGTTTGCGTCGGCTGAAAGGCGAAATCTGGTCAAGTAGGCTTTAGACCACAAGCAGTCTCTTGAAACAATACAGTGCGCGAAACTAACTTACGAGAAGGCGAGCCGCCTTTACGACTGCTCGCGGTCTAAACAGGCAGTTCACTTGCCGGTGAAAAAGAATGCACGCTTCAACAAATTCAAACTAGCAACTAGAATGATGTCTTCGTTTCCAAAGTTATTTTTCGCGAACGAGGTGGGAATTCGAAAAACTCTTAAGAATACAGGAGCAGCAGTGTACAAAGAAAATTTACAGACATTTTCTCACATCCTTGAAAATACCAATGTTCCGAGCACATTTTTCTGGACCTTCACAGATATCGCGCGAGAGTAAAAGCAAATCCTACTAAGCAATGCTCTGGAAAGATTCCACATCCGAGGACGGCCGTTGGCACAGATCACGAGTAAGAAAAGTGGAGACGAGAAAAAGCAACAACACCCCCTTATCTTTTATGTAAACAGTTGTTACTTGCGTACACTCACAAATAAACTACATGGAGCTCCTCTATCTACATTAACTAACTAGAACAGTTGTTTTTCTCCAATAACTAAAACTGTTATTACCTATTGACAAAAAAAATAAACTACACAAACGTGCAAGCCACATCGCGCGTAGCACCACCAGAATTTCATACCTTTGTATTTTCACATATATACATTTCATACATTATGAAGGTTGTGGTTCTATCTTTCAATCGTTAATTGTATAGGTGCAAATTTACTGTAGTATTTAAAATTCATCTCACGTATCAATTCACTCATTATCAAACATTATCATAAATAAATACAAAGGAAAGAATACACCAAGGATAAAATAGCCTGAGTATCGGGCCCTCCTTAGGGATTAGTAAGAGGAGAATTTTAAGAGAGGAAGAGGGAGGAATCTTTCTTCCGGTATCGTTCTCTCCTCCCCTTCTCTATAGAAAAGCCTGACGATCAGGCTATGGACAAAATAGAACCACAACATATACGGTACATTAGTCCCGGGAAGAGATGTAAAAACTATTTCGAGTTAGTCCGTTAGAGCCTTACTCTCCGCGAGGAGGGCTGTGAGGTTTCGTAACGGTATAGTTTGTAAGCCTCCCTTGACTATTTAGCAATTTCTAACACAACTCTTTAAAAAGGCTGGTTACAGCATTGGGCTTCTTCTCATGAGGAAAGGGTGAACCAGTCTGAAGGACTAGTTCTTCGTATACACTACGTGTAAATTCTAACTAAGCAGCCAAGTCTTAAAATAACTACCAAACGTATCATAATTAGTTAATTATAAGCCCAAGAGATTTGCCCATTTTCAGAGAAATGAATCGATAAATTTACCACGAGAAAGCACAGTAACAGCTTCCATTAAAGTGGTAATATGACTCTACACTTTTTGTACGTACAAAATAACTTTAGATCTTTCCTAACTTGACTACGGAAGAAAAGAATATTTGGGGATTTCTGATTACCACTCATCTTTTCTTTTATCCTCTAAATTTTTATGCTTCTTTCTCTTCTTCTCTTTTTCTCCCGGCATTTGAAGGGATTCCAGCCTAACTGGTCTTCCCATAGGAGGCATGCCGGCCGAATTCCCCATACTTCCCACATTCCCAGGGGCAGGTCCATTATTGTTAAGTCCCCCAGTCGAAGCCCCGTTGGAAGGGAAGCCAAGCGAAGCGCGTGATCCTCCTGAGGGAGATGAAGACTCTCGTCTATCATATCTGTCTATTCTTGTGTTCTCAGCCAACAGCCTATCCGCTCGTTTCGGCTTAAAATAGCTCGACACGTAATCTTCATTCGAGCTTCTGGACAAATGTTGAAGGAAGCGATCCTCAGTTGGCTCCTCAGGGTACCCACCTAAGTGCCCATTGATGGCCTGTCCCTGGTTGTTAATCTGGGGTCTGTTGATACCGGGTGATTTGGGTCCCCGGGAGTTTGCACCCGGCATAATCCCAGGGGTAGGAAGTGTTGTTTTTGTAATAACTAACTCCGGGATGTTCCATTTGCCGGAGTCTTCGTCCCAGCTGCTCTCTGAACGAATCTTGTCAATGTTATAATAATTACAGTCCCGCCGAATGCACGGCTGAATCTTATCCATGATCTGCTGCTGAAGTTTGATCATTTGCTCTTGCTTACGAATTGTTTCCAAGTAATCTTCCCGATCGCGCTCAAATTCAATTTGAAGGTCATCAATCTCAGATTGCGCAGATTTCAACTGTCCTTCCATCTGATCAATCTTCTTACTCTTCACCTTGATTTCGTCTTGTAAATTGTCATAAACCTTGACCATAATTCCATCGTCTTCCATTTTCCTTGCTGCCTTCGCTAGCTTCTCTCTTTGCGTCAAAGCATAGTTTTTCTTCGCTTTCCTCTTTTCTTTCAATTTCTGATCATTTTTTTTCTCTCCACCCACAAAATTTTCCTGCAGTTCTTGCAGACGTTTCACCAAAGCGTCAGTGGGAAGACCTTGACTTAAGAAACGCAGATCTTCTAAGCCAGGCACGAGGTTCTTTATGTCCTGTACACCTTTCTTTGCTTTATCCTGTACTGTCTGTAACACACTCTGTTCTTGGCCTGAATCTTGCAACGCTTGTAACGGCCCTGTGATCGCGTTAAGCGACGCGTTTGAACCAGAAAGATGCGATGTCTTCTGATCCTGCTGAAATGAAATGGAAAAAAATCAACGCAAAGAAAAATAGAAAGGCAAATTTTTGTTACCGAAAACCCAAAACAAGACAGCCTTGTGCTCGTCTTGCTCGCAAGATATCGTCTGTCATACGAACGCAGGTTCCGAGATAGTCGAGTCCGCGTCTTCCCCACTATCTGAGAGCCTGGAACAGTTTAGGTATTTAAAGAAAGGTTGGATCGTATGTGAACTTAGAGACTGGAAATGGCTTCAAGTGAACCAAACAAACACTCGTCCACTTTGCTCGCAAGAATTGACAGAAATAAGGCATTCGGCACATGCATCGTTTTTCGTTTACAGAGATAGAAAGTGTAACTTAAAATAACGAGATAGTTTTGTCGCCAATTACTGCTAATGCAGTAAAGCTATAAATGTGTTTTGGATGACCTTTTTCAAACTTACCGCATCATTAGCCAAGGCAATCATGCTGATCGCGCTGTCTGCAGGCACTGCCCCCATCCCCACTCCCACTGAGTCACCGCCACTGCCACCACCAGCATACTGCTCCTCAACATTATGAACTTTCTTGTTATAGTCATTCTTCAACCGTTCCATCTCTTCTTGCAGTTTTTGTTTTGACATCAGTTCTGCTTCATAAGACTCTTTCATTTCTGCCAGCTTTGATTCATACTCCTTCCTTAGCTTATCAGTTTCCATGGCAACAACTGTGGAGTGATCCTGAGAGTGGGTTGCCTGAATATGTGCTGGTTTAGACTGAACTATGACAGCAGCTGGGCCTCCTGTGGTGACAAGGACGCGATAAGCTATCAAGTTCTACATACTAAGCACTGCAGCCGCAGCTCAGGGGCACCCAACGAGGATATAGTTCAAAACCACTTAACATAGCATTGTTGAACGTATTTTAGTATTTAAACGGTAGATATAGGCATTTTTTAATCCCCTAAAAACTTTTCATCTGTTCGGATTTCCTAGCTGAAAGTCTAGTGATCCGAAAATTATAGGGATCAAAACTTACCTTTTCGAAAATTTTAGCCAGGAAAAGGCTCCCGAAATTTCTAGGTGGCCTTTTTTAGGGTAAATATCCGTTTAAAATGGGTAATTATACCATTTTGTAGATGTTCGAAAATCCTAGGAGAGGCAGGCAAGCAAGAAATTTTACAACAAAAAATGTTCCGAAAATTCTAGTTCTCAAATCGTCTTCCGAACAGATATTTTCCCGAAAATTGCCGTTGGTTGCCCCTGGCAGCTAGCCCGACATATTTTCCATTTCCTTTCCAGAAGGTAGTTGTTAATTTCAAATCAAAATGAAGGCAGTGCAATGTGCAAGGGGCAAAATTTCAGTTAAAAATTACTTGTAAAGTTCAACAATAGTAACTTGTACTCGTTGTTGTTCCGAACCAGGGGAGCACGAACCACTGGCACCGTGATTAGAAGCATTGCTTCCCACCAAGGTGGCCTAGGTTCAATTGCCACCATCAATGTCCAATGTCATACTTGTGTGAGTTGGTTATTGAGTCCTGTTTTCCCCTCCTCTCAAAAAGTATAAAAACTTCCAAATTCAAATTCAAATTCAAATTCCACATTCAAAATAGTTCTTCAAAGCTCCAGTATGCAGTCATAGGTACACAAATTACACTACATATCATAAGAAAATTACATACAATACAGGTGATTTTTATACCTGATGTCGTTAAATCAGCTGGAACTTCCATCTGCCCCATCAGCATAGCTTTTAATTTCTGAATCTCCTCTTGATACTGCCTCAACAGTGCATCTTTTGGATCTTCATTAATCTTAGGTTTGTTCTTAATGTTTTTCGCACGATTTGCATACCGCAGTGTACTCAGCGTCTCGTCATAGTTGTTGTCTGCTGGACTCAGACATGCAACCATCAGTGTCTTGGTGTTGCCACCCAAGGAATCCTACAAAAAAATTATCAATAGGTACATAGTAAGTAGGTAATGCACAGGCTACCCACACCGTTAGAGATTACAGTGCACTCTGAAGTTAATTCCCACCCACTGTAAACAGGTTAAGGAGGGTTTCTTGTCTTGGGAAACAACATGCTCACATAGCCATGCCTTGATCTACTCAACTTAAAAGTTAATCGTGATATCAACCATTGCAAGGGTGCTCAGTATTATAATAAAATATCTAAGGTTTTGCAGTCATTGCAAAAACTTAGATTTCGTAGTCACCTCAGCAAAGGCTGAATTAAGTAAGTCACCTGGGGCCATTGGATGCTCTGCTAGAGGACAGCCATATCATTGAAAAAATTAATTCTAGTCTCAAAGTCTAAGATTTTTGCCTTGTAGCTGTTGACTGTATCATACAGTTTTCATCAGCAATAAGAGATGAGAGATCAGAGATGAGGGGTTGCTTCCTGCAATTTTCTGCAACTTTTAATTTATTATTTGTTGTCACATGACTAATTCCCGTGACAATACTGAGCATTTATTGCTGATGGACACTGTGCAGTACAATCAAAAGCTACAAGACTAAAATCTGAGAGTAGAATATTCAAGTTTGATTACCAAGGTTAAGAGCATTCATAGAATTAGCCATATTATTGTTTTCTCTTTCACCTTGCGCATTCCAAACACACATTCATTAACTACCAAGGAAAAGATTGACATAACTGCGACCAAAGAAACCAGAAAGGTGTCAGGTTTTGTTGCTAGAGTGCTTTTCAAGTCCACCCCTGCTTAGGCATCCACCTTAGTCTGGTGCTCCTCTTATACACTTCAACTGAAATGCTGCCAGCTTGGTAAATTAAATAAATTAGCAAATTTTTAACACCTATACAATGACTTTTACATGTATATACCTGAAGCAGTCTGGTTAACTTGGAATCACGGTAAGGGATGTGACTTGACTTTCCATCAACTAGTGCCGATATAACATTTCCCAAGGCAGAAAGTGACAGATTAATTTTTGTGGCTTCTTTGAGTCGGTCACCAGTAGCACCAGTTTTTGCCTGCCTTTCACTTCCTGCCAAGTCCACTAGGTTAAGCTTCCCTGCTCTGATATGCTCACCACTCTCATTACCTGCCTCCATGATTTCAATATTGATGGTAAATATTGAATGAGATCTTGACGAATCAGCATTCATGAGTGTGGCACCCACCGATCGGTTTTTACCTCCCAGATCCATGACTTTCTCCATCTCTGCTACGCTGTGTACAGGGTGCATTGTCAGGTCCTTCACATAGACTCCTCTCTCGGGATGTTCTTTTAGCTCTAACTTGTGTTTATGATCCTTCCCCAGGAGATCCCTTATTTCCTCATTATAAATTTCCAGGTATGAAGCATGCACCAAGAACTTTGCATTCTCAGCAACTTGAATTGCATCAAATATATGTTCAAATGCACGCGGGATTACACCTCTCTGTGTTGGTGGATCAGTGATTCCTTGCATACTAAATGACTTTCCACAACCTGTCTGGCCATAGGCAAATACAGTACCATTATAACCTTCCAATACACCATCAACCAATGGGAAACAGATTTCATTGTAGATGGTTTCAGTTGTAGAGTCCATGTAATATGCACCGTCGAATGTGAATGTTTTGGGAGGCTGTGATTTCTCACCAGGTTTGGATAATGCGCATTGTCCAGTGGATGAGTCCATTTGTACCACAACTTCACAGTTGAGGTCCTTTTCACGCCGGTTGAGAGGTCTACAGCGTACAATAACTTTAACTGCTTCAGCCATGTTGATCTAGGGCTAATGAAAAATAAGGCATTATGAATTAAAATCTGATTAAATCAAACTGCAAACAGTTCAAATTTTCTCAAATCTCCACAATTTTAATAAATGAACAATGAAAATCTCAACACTTAAATATTCACTGTAGCACAGTCAAGCCTTTATAAATTATACACACAACAGCACAGCGGGATCATTTCCACACCTTACATATAGTTGAGGATAATGCAAAAAATAAAGAACAGCCATTTTTCACCGTGTAAAGAATTACAATTTAAATGCATTATAAGTTGATTTATTTCAAGTAGATTAAAAAATACTTGCACTTTCAATTTATTATTTACACCATTTCATGGTTGCCATAACAAACACAAAACATCAGTGAAGACGAATCTACTTAAAAAGTACACCAAATTTAATATGTCAACTAAAAATATGTTATACATATATAACTACAGTTCAAAACAAAAAAGTTCTAAAAAATAAACTCAGGATTTATTTTTTCATGCTGAGCTTTCGAGTTTCTCAACAATACCATGTTGTGGTTATGATTAAAATTTTATATACCAAAATAAAAGCAAAAAATGAGACCTTTTTCACTAAGACTTTTGAGAGTTATCAGACTACTATCTCAAGTTGAGAAGAATATCTGTGACATTTATCTACGGTGCATGTTTATCCCAACTGTCAAGAGTATTCATTTAGCAGAAAACTATACTGTAATCTCATGGGTCCAAATCTGAGAGCAAAACTAGGCAGATCCAATCAAGTTATTTCATAACAATAATTTCAAATATAAGCAGGTGTTACGTTTTTTCTTTTGTTAGTTTTTTTTACTGTTGTTCATAATTTATGTAATTAAAACATGGGTATTCTTTTCAAGGTTACCATGAGCTGCTTAAGTACAAAGAACAACAAATAATGTTGCTGTTGGTATAGTTTCATATAAGCAGAGAATGACTCTAATCCCCTTATCCCTGTCCCTTCTACAAATATTATTACACTTTGGAAGAGTTTGTGTTTCTCCACTGCACTATTCTAGAAACAGCTACAAATGTTCGTACTCATAGTAAACAAAAAAAAACCCACTGATATCACTCAACTGGGTTGTCCAAACAGGGTAGTATACACAAATACAAGAAGAGGATCTAACAACACCTCTGAACAACAAGAACATGACACTAGTGCGAAACCCCGGGGGGTACTGCCATATATGGGCTATACTGGTATGTGCCACTGTGAAGGGTATGGTTTTCAAGCAGTTTACTCTAGGATACGGTATATGAATCAGAGCGTTTGGGTCTAGAATAGGGTATTATTTTTCAGGAAACTGATCAGTTGGTTGAATATTTTATCTAGACTAGGGATTGTGGTAGGATAGGGGGGATTAGGGGAGTTTACTCTAGTATAGGGTAGCAAAATTCAGCTGAACTAGCTCTGGTATACGTTAAGGGTTCCAGGGTCCCAGTGGCACATCCCCACCCAGAAATTCCTGAAGTACCCTTCCCAGGTGTGCGAAACCAGGGTCATCACTCAATGCTCCTCAATGTTGAGGGGAGGAGTATTGTGTGACAATCCCACAAATGGCTTGTCAGGAGACTAACAAGGTGTAAACATACTGGTGATCGCTTTAACACATCTAACAGTGAAACTCTCCCAGATTTAGCCAAGTGTACCATTATTGAGAATATATCTCCTATAAGTCTCCAGTAAGGTAGCCTCCCATGCAAATGTTGTTAGAGGTTTGTCACACGTTCCTGCCATTTGTGGGGACAATTGCGTGATGAGCCAAAAGAACATCTGTGGGAATAGCTACCAGTAAGGAGAACAAAATCCCGTATAAAGAACAAATCTCTCAATCAGGAAGTAATAATTTTATCAAAACCAAAAAAATCATTATATTATTCAAGTAACTTTCTTACTCCTTTCAACAAAGGCTGGTTACCCATGCTTTTTTGCCATTATGAGGAATAAAGAAGATTCTTCTTCTTCTTCCTTGAAACTCTACCTTATTCATATTAAGATTCTTGTGAGGCTAGTGAAGGGGACTGGATGGATTAAGGCTTACAACCAACTAAAAACCATGATAAAAGTGCCTCAGATTGTTATGTATATTCTAAAGAAGAAGTGGAAAGTGGCTGATTTGGAGGAGTGGTTCCATTTGGCATTTTGGGCATGGAATGGACTGATGTTGGGACATCCACAGGTTTGCATTGTTAGAGATTGGCACTCAGCGAAATACAAGATTAACCTCATCTATTGCACTTCTTTTGTTTGTAGCTGCCACACCTGCTTAAGCATATAATTTCTATTTGCCAACAGAGACTTTTAAGTCTTAACTCGGGAAATAACATTCCAGAGGTAAAGTCAGTAAATTTACTTAAAAGTATTGTTGCTAAGACGTCCCATCAAAATTTCTAAGTAATTTTTAAATGGATTTATTCCTCAAATTTTAACTCTAGAGCCATTTTACCTGGTATTAGTAATTGCTGCACGAAGGAAAAACCTAAAATTAAAAAAAAATGGAAGCAGCTAAAGGAGGTAAAATTAAGCTTTTTGTGGCCGGGGCTTATTATTAAGTAACTAAGCAAGAGTACAATGTAAATTCATTGTGGCCGGTCAGGCCTCTGAGAAGAAATGCGGTTTTCTTACCTTGCTGACCAAGTGACAATGTCTTCTCTATCTCTGAATGCTTATTTTCGCTGTTTATACAATGCAAGATACGGATGAAAATTAAAGAACTTCTCGTTCATGGTATAAAGTTTGGTGAGCCGGTCAAATCTTGCGAAATCATCTCTGTTTGTACACGCGCTTTTTACGACAAAATAACCTAAAGATTGTTAGAATGATCACTGGTAAGATTTTACTCCTGTTGAAAACGGTGTATCCTTTGTCATACGAAGTTTAAATCTGACAATTAAGGAAACAAAATGGGAAGAAGTTCAGGTTTCTTCTTCTTCGACCGCCATCTTCCTTAATGATGACGTTTTTACCCTTATTTGGAGCCGGCTTGTATCAAATGCTACCATGACAACCATTCCCGGGAATCTGGCTCGAACAAAAGCGCGTAGGCTTTTCGCACTCTTGAATTGTGAGCACAAAAAAACAGCAGCAACAACAAAATCACAATTATGTTGTTTGTTTATTTGTTTGTTTATTTTCTAAAGTTATATCGAGTTCTATAGGCAAGGCAGCATCAAAGTGAACCTTACAATAAGGCCCGCGTCCCTTCTGGTTATCTTTCAGTACAACGGTGAGAGTTCAGGGGGAGGAAGTAACTGAAATCAGTACATGTATTAAACAAGAGCGCGCCCCCTAGGTACGGCAAACAGGCAACAAAAAACGCGCAACTTGTTTTGCACACCATGCTGCCAAACGAATTGAATAGCGTTATTGCGCTTTTTAATTTTATATCTACCACGAATCAAACCTCTCATGTGGCAAATCAGGTTGTTGCGGAAAGGTTCTACTTTTTCCGACAAAATCTGTACATGTTGCGCGTTTTACTAGCCCAAGGCAAACTTGTTTTGCAGCAAGTGACGTATTTTCTGCTGTATAGGGTGACTCCCGCGTAATTTTATCCTATCAGAAGTCAATATTCACGCAACTTTTGTTGCTATATGTAGACAGGTTTGATAGCCTGTGTACCAGTGACACCCACTCCCCTCAACAAAAACCGGAGGAGAGAGAACCCGGAAACGTCGTAAATGGGGGGCGTAAGGGGGGCACGATCGAATACCGCAAAACCGCACAGAAATACGTATAAACACCGCACAGAAATTGAAATTACCCGAAAATTTCTAAATACCGTATTAAAACCGCTTGGTATTGTAAAACCGCAATACCACAACTTAAAATATAAATTTCCGAAAAAACTGCACCAAAAATAGAGTAAAACCCCATCACCGCCAACCCTTACGCCTCCATTCTCGTAACAAAAAAGAGGTTTGGGCCGGGTAGGTTAAGCCGGATTAAAGAAAACCCAAGATTAGCCTTCGCGACGCCACCACCAGGCACCACAAAAGTACATTTCGCGGGGCAACTGGTGGTGTCGTCGCGAAATGTTGGCTGTTTTCTGAGGCTTATACCTCAGGATCAGCGCGAAATTTGACTGTAAATCTGAACATACACTTTTATGTCAGCAAATTTCTTCGAATTCTTTTGCCCAATTTGATGTTTAGAGGCTCTATAACTTATTGACAGAAAAAATGTTTTTGAGCAAAAGAAATAAGAAACCGGATTAAGATTTAAAGTCAGGGTTAGTGATAATCGACCATAACAATAATTGGTTTGAATTAAACCATGGTTTGTTATCTTTTATTACATTTGGTATCCAATAAAATTATTTGCGTCTTCTCTGCTTACATCTGGCCTTGCGTCTGTGGAGGAAAAGAGTTTGACGTCATATAAATAATTTAAAAAGCATTAGATACTTAGCTTCCGAGTTCCCCGAAGCCTCTGTTTCACAGCGAGGCTAAGTGAAAAGCTACTGATATAAAAATGATTTTTTATTCTGAGGCCAAATAAGCCTCATTTTGACAAGAAAAATTTGCACTTAGCATCGTTTTGAAAAGAGAGAATGTTTGGAACTAGGAAATGTGGTATCCTTGGTATGTGGACTAGAAGTCAACGCATGCGTACCATTTAAACTTCGCTTTCTTCTCCAGCCGTAAGGTCCATAGGAGTTTATTTCCCTTCTTTCTTCTCTCTCCTCGTTTTCCTGGCGTCGCTCTCTGGCTATTTCTTCTATTTTTTCCATATGATGACTTTTTCTTGCTTGTGTTTGACTTATCTGCACTGAAATCGCCAACATCACGCATACAAGAAGAACTCGTTTAGCCATATCTGGTTCAGAGATAAAAATTTGACGTACAAAGGATCTCATGAGAAGATTTAGCCTCGTTAAATAGATGAAGGAAACTAACTCAAATATTTAAATCAGTTCCCGGAATTACATTGAGTTTCTCATCCAGTTTTCTTTAAATTTTAAACAATTTTTATTTTACATTTGTAGTATTTAAACTCAACGATGACCCTCTTCTGTCAACATGTGTGATAGATTTAATTTCAGTACAAAAAAATAGGATCCATGTCGTAAGGATAAGGATTAAATGTTGTGAATTAGCTTGAATTCACTGTTTTTTTAGAAATAGTCATTCATGATTCATCTGATTGTATCTCAAAGCAACACTTTACATTCAAAAAATGGGGTCTTATGGACATAATTGAAATCACAAATTAATGATTTAGGGTGACTAACCGGAGTAAGAAATTAATCCACAGCAACGGTTCGAAGCTCTAATCTCCTCAGTCTTTTCTTCGATAAAGCATACGTAGCGTGGTAGTTAAAAATCTATTCTCATAATCGATAAATATCATCTAGTGTTATCAAAGTTTCTGATTTTCAATTAAGTTGTCAATTGCATCCTTCCTGTATTTCTTGCGAGTGACAAGCTTGTTATAATTAAATTTGTTTTCATATATAGATCTGAACCACTTAAAAAACTTGTAGAATAGATTAACTTGTTCGGCTAGGAAAAAGAGATAAGTGATGCAATACGAAAAGCACCCGAGACGTGTGCTAAGCATAGCAGATCATCGAAAAGGATAGCGTTAAGAGATTTAAACATTTGCGACAGCCGAGAGACAAGTTAAGCTAGTAACTGTAGAATAATCTAATGAAAAAGATGTTAACCGATGATTAGCCGGGGTTATTATGATTATCATGTTGCCGTTAGTCTGGTAAGTGGGTTGGTGTTGTGTTCCCGCCCCAGGAAGGTGATCGATAAGTCGCACGATAAATCGCCCTCGTAAATCCGATTCCGAAACTGGACGGGAGATAGAGTGGTTTTCGTTTGAGTGTCGTAAAACTAAAACCAAAGTAATTACTCTGGCCAATCACATAGGACACAGATAATACATTGAACCAATCAAAACTCGAAGTAATTACATGTGGCTGACGCAAAGCGCGGGAAAATGCATGCGAGCGCGTCACAATTGGCTTTGGTTTTACTTCTGATTGGATGAAAAGGTGGCGCGAATCTTTTAAGCCAATCGCATCGTGTAGAAAGTGCAAAACCAATTACTTTTCGACACTCAAATGAAAACCGCTCTAATAGTCTTAAGTGTTTGGATGAGCGCGCAGGCAGAGGATGAGGAAGATACCGACGTAGTTAACAATTAGAAATAAATGGTACTATTGGGGAAAGAAAGCATTCCTGAATCTTGTTTGCTCGGTTCCCATCAACGAACCACTCCGCTACGACCGTGCCTAGCCCGTTCCAGGCTCTCAGATAGTAGGATGACGTGTAGGGACCTAAAAAGATTCGACGACGGCGACGGCAACGAGAACGCCAAAAAAGAAATAGGTTTAATTAGCTAAACAAATACTTTGCACGTGCATCACGCTTTTTTGTACATTTCTTTGCCTTCACTGAACGACTACGACGTGAAAATGCCTAACTTGATGTTTGTAGAGGACGTAAACCAGCAACGACGAAATTTTCTTTGTCTTTCTGAACTTAGATGGGTCTCCTAGGAATTCAAATCCAGGAGAGTTCGCATATATTTGACAAAGTAAGAGAGTTGGAATAATCGCGATGAAGGTTAAAAAACCGCGAAAAAATTCACTTTTCAAGCGACGTTTTCCCTTCCGTTGCCGTCCTCTCATCTAAAGGTCCCTAACAGGGAGCTTAAGCAGGGGCACCCAACGGCAATTTTCGGGAAAATATCTGTTCGGAAGACGATTTGAGATCTAGAATTTTCGGAGCATTTGTTGTAAAATTTCTTGCTTGCCTGCCTCTCCTAGGATTTTCGAACATCTACAAAATGGTATAATTACTCATTTTTAACGGATTTTGACCCTAAAACAGGCCACCTAGAATTTTCGGGAGCCTTTTCCTGGCTGAAATTTTCGAGAAGGTAAGTTTTTATCCCTATAATTTTCGGATCACTAGATTTTCAGCTAGGAAATCCGAACAGATGAAAAGTTTTTAGGGGATAAAAATATGCCTATATCTACCGGATCCTACCGTTTGAATACTAAAATACGTTCAACAATGCTATGTTAAGTGGTTTTGAACTATATCCTCGTTGGGTGCCCCTGCTTAAGCAATAATGACGTCGACGGCTACGAAAAGGCTACTTTAAAAGTGAAGTCACGCTGCTTCAAACTTATCGCGCTTATCAGGCGCGGATCTAGGATAAATACTGACCGATTTCCTAAACGAGGGGCCGAGGGAGCAGGCTTCTAGGGGTATTTTTTTGGATTTTAATTCCCTAAAGTTCCCTTTCCCGGGTTTCTGATTCATTGAGGGGGCATCTAATGCTCGGAAACTGCAAAAAAAAAAAATTTGTCCAGACCATTTTCCAGATTTCAACTTGGGAAGTTTTATTATTATTAAAAGTACGTTTATTATGAAAAATCTGACAGATTTCCGTAAAACGGTGGAAACCGGTGTGAATCCGTACCTGCTTATTCCATCTCGTTCAGTTCGTTAAATGTTGGCAATTAATTCTGGAGTTGAATTCTTAAAGGCTGTATCGAAGTCAGGCGGGAGAAAAAAATAAAGTTGTTGCGGCTTGTGTTCATGATCACGTTCTCCACAAAACGTGAAATTAGGCATTTTAAAGTCCTAGTCGTGCAGTGCAAAAAAGCGTGATGCCCGTGCAAAGTGGTTGTTTTGCTAATATAAACCTATTTCGAACTGTTCAAAAGGGAGCTTTTGCAACGACGACGGCTAGGGAAAACCTCTTTATAAAATAAGTTCGTCTTAGAGTTAACTTCGCATTTCATTAATCTCTATTAATCTTTACTGATATTTTGTTTTGTTCTGTACATTTACGTTTATACTAAGTTTATGACATTTATGAATACCAATGTATTTGTTGTGCCTATTTCCTGACTTTTCGCATTTTCAATTATAATGGGTTTTTTGGTACATTTTTCTTGCCGTCCCTACACGACCAAGACGTGAAATTTCCTTATGCGACGTTTTCTGGAGGACGTAAAAACACAAAGAAGAATGTTTCTTTCTCTTTGTACAATTGGGTGTGGTTCCCAAGAATTCAACTCCGGGAAAATTTAGCCTGGGTCGCAGGCTAGGAAAATTCACCTACATTTGACATTTTAAACGACTTGGAAAAAACGCAACAAAGTGGGAAATTTCAATCAGTCAATCAGTCTATTTCTACTACCGTAGACAGACAACTAAAAGAATTTACAAGAAGTATAAATATAAATAAACAATACATACAGAAGTTGGACATCCAAAATAACTAAAACGATAAATTATAATTACTTTTATGACGTTCTCGTTTCCGTCGCTGTCATCGGGCGTTGCTAAAGCTCCCTAACGTAAGCCAGGCTCCGCAGTGGGGGAAAAAGGCTGAAAACGAGAGCAAAGAAAAATGGCAGGGAAACGAGCCTTCCCATCCCCAGACTACCGCTCGGATCGCTTGGCTCGCCTAAAACCTATTGCTAAAGCTCCTTAATAACTGTAAGTTAGACCATTAAAGCGAGAAAGGAAAATTGGTCATCAGGCGTTCTTTTTTTCAACAAATCTTTGGATTCAATGAGGTTCGTAGATACCGGCAGAGCATTATATACCAAAATTTCAGTGCAAGTGTAGAGGCATTGTTAAGCTTATTGATCCCATTATTTGTGTGATGCCTTCACTGCAACTGCGGTTCCTTCTGGTTACCAATAACAACACTAACGATAAAGCATAGCTCAGATTTATTACTTCAACGGAATACAAAAATGAACAACAGCAAGACGTGTACAATAATCTTGTTCACTTTTTTAAAGAAAAATATACTTCCATAAAAATCTTCACCTTAAATAATAAATATTTGTCATTTATGGTCTCTATAGCTAGCAAAGGGCAAGGCCACCGACTGAGTTTGCCGTGGAATATATTAACACATTTATCTACAATGGAGTAGCAAGAGCAGGTCATTTGGACCAATAATTACAGCAATCAAACACTTCATAATTATATTGTTAACATTGCTGAATGTCATTTTCAATGCAAGGTAAAGTCGCCAAGTCAGCATCATCATCATCTTCACTGATTTCAGTGTCAAGCACAGGATATAATTGGCACTTGTAAAGCAGTACAAAGATGATCTTCTGCATGCCTGTGCCTGAAAAAGAAAAAAAAAGAAGTCATTTCAATTTTTGTAAGACATACAGGTCTTTGCATACATATCCCGGGTACCAGAGAACTTTTTCTGACTGCATGTGGAGGAATACTTCGGTGTTGGCGTGTCACTACAAAGACGTGACAGGAACTGGAGACTGTGCATAAAAAGTCTCTGGCACCCAGGGTATTGCCCAGACATTACAATGAAAAAAGGCTGGAATTTTTTTGCAAAACAGATGTGAATGTTTGTTTGTTTACTTTTTTGGTGTTTGAACTGTTGCACAAAATTATCAAGTGACATCATTTGCCCAAATGAGCATGATTAAGTGTTGAGTCATTCACAGGAAAAAAAATTTGATACATATATCCGCTAACACCCCTACTATCTTTAAAATATTTATAATACTTATATTGAAAGCTCACTAAAGGCCTGCAAAAATGAGAAACAAGGAAGGGGAGCAAAAAAAAAAAAGTGAGCAGAAAAAAATCCAAGCTTGCAGAGTCAACTTCGTGCACCAGGAATGAAAGCAAGCATAGCGTTAGTTCAACTTGTAAAAATTAATCACATTTTGGATCATTGGCTTCTTTTTCATTAGCCTGTGCAGCCAAGACATACTTTAGCACTTGATTAAGCTAAAGTCACTTTTTGGAGAGCTTGTCATAAGATAAAGGTTTCACTAGCTTCAAATGGCATTTTTGGGAGAAAAGTTTCTAGCAGCAAATGGGCTGATTCATTGAATTGCAATGTTCTATGCATAATACCAATGAAAAAAAACACTGACTTCTTTTCATAATGTAAATGTCAATCAAATGTTTCTCACCTTATACAGTGGTTCCTACGGCAGTCAGGGCACACAAATGGCATAAGACCATGCTGCCGACAAGTTTTCAAAGAACACTTGTTGCTTTTCTTTGGTTTTCCAAGAACCAGGGTCTTGCAGCCACTCATAATATGCTGTTCTACCTATTTCATGTAAAACAAACGACACAATGACAACTGCAATGAGTGGTTGTACAATGAGGGTGAAATCGGCCAACCATCTCACACTTGCATGCCACTGTTTAAGATTTGTTAATTTGTTTTTTTTTTAAAAAAGGAAAAGTATAACTTTTATTAGGTATGATTTGAAATTTCAATGAATAGCCTGAATTTCAGACGATTACTTCAAGTTGTTTTTACTCCCTCAGTAATGTCTGAATCAACCAGCCGTTAATGCCCTCCAGTGACATCACTACTCCTTTGCTTTCCTGTTTTTTCACACGATACTGAAACATCATCCTTAAATGCCAGCACAATATATTCCAGTTGTAAAATAATACAGTCCACTTTTTGTTTTACAGTCCACTTCTATGTGAGAAAACTTCTTAAAATCAATGCAAGAGATCGCCATTTGTAAGCAACCACATTTCCAAAACAAAAAAAATTCCTAGTCAAATCAATTTTAAGTTAACCTCTTAAATAACTCATGAACAACCATGGCCACTTGTTAGGGTGACAAGCAATTACAAGCAAAAACTTCATGGTCTGATGCCTAAGTTTGCTGTATGTACTATGAAACTCACAGTATAAGTCAAAAAAATTTGTAGAAAACATGGCAACTGCTCATATGGAAAATCAGGAATTTTGTGCACTACTCTTTTAGTAAATGAAAAGATATGTGACCTTTTCATAATGGAGACCACTGTGGTTTGACAACATCCCATAAACCACCACCAAATGTTGGCATTTTAAGTGAATGCAGCTTTAATTAGAGGTACTTCTAACAATTTGCCAAGATCCATATTTAACATGTGACTCACTGTCAGTAAGTACGACCACATTTCAGACAAATATGATTAGTTTAATTGCTCACCTGTCTATTGATATCTTCATCTTTGGATTTCTTTATGATTTGATTACAGATCGGACAAACAGGAACATGAACCTGTTGGTTGAGAAGCCAGAAATTAGCAAAAAGTACAACAAATTTGTGCTGCTGACATACAACACATAGCTGCTACAGCAGTATGAATGAACGAGTGGATAAAATGTCAAGTATGAGAGGACAAAAGACATGTCCGCTCCATAAAAAACACATAACGTATTAACATCTTAACAGTAAGCTCGGATGTCAGCATATAAGCAGCCCACGATATAAATGATGTTTGAAAGGTAGACCATGCCACCAGGAAACATCCCCTACTGTTTTCAAACAGTAGGGTGGGCTCTTTAGCATTGAGCAATAAAATCTGAATGATAAAGAAGACAAGGCCAACAGCATAACTTCACCACCCAATGATGTGATCATCTGAACTGAAACAAGGTCTTAAATCACAGCCAGCCCGATCTTACCATCACCCTATTGTAAGGAAATCCAAGACAGTCTTCCATTCTAGACTTCACCCTGTGAAGTTTGGATTCCAGATACTGTATTCTGGATTTCAAAGCCCAGGAATTTGGATTCCACAAGGAAAAAATTCCAAGATTCCAGATTCTGCAATCAAACATTTCCTGGATTCCAGAATCTGTATTCCCTTACATAAAGCGATGACCAGTATTTTAAGGAACCAAAGAACCTGGTTTATAATCCAGTTCTCAGGGGCGGATCCAGGATTTTTTTTAGGAGGGGGTGCACTCGTCTCTCGCTCTACTTCAACACCAATAAACCACATAGTTTTTTTTTTGCAGAATACCAGTTGTATTAGAAAACTGCAGGTCATCTCGGGGGGGGGGGGTGCGCACCCCCTGCACCCTCCCCCTAGATCCGCCCCTGAGTTCTGGTTTGAACCAACATCCTCCCGCTCAAGGGACTGGTTCTCTTTGAAAGTTACTGGAACTTTTCAGGCAGTAGTGTCAGGGATGGGTTTTATCAAGACCACTTGAAACCCCCAGTCTCTGCAAAAGGCAGGCTGGAGTAAAATTAAAGTAACTGTTACTTTTTATTTGGCACTACGTACATCAGATGTAACGACATCTGGACATTGATGGCCTTCAGGTGTGCGATGATCCAAACTAGTAAGAAACAAGAAACACAAGTTAACAGGAAATAGCAAGGAGCATAATCATCCTTTGTAAAATCATCATTTCCTTTCTGTTATTAATTTGCTCATAAAAAAGAAGAATTTAAATATTAAATACCTAATAGCTGAACAATAAATTAGTACAGTAGAGAAGCAAAAGCTGAATGTAGTTTCAAGTTTCAAACTTTAAACATGGCCAATGGTCGAGCCGAAACTTTGAAAAAAAAAAGGTCAGAAAGGCATCTTTCTGGCTCAAAAAAAGAGGCTGAGACTCTACATTGTAAATAACACTACAAACGGGACTAGTTAAAGCTAGCCCCAAAATGAAAGTTACACTGTGGGGGAAGAACATCCACCACTGGAAAGCAGTCAGAAGTGTTCAGTAAAATATTTTAAAAAACCCTTACCAGAAAATCTCTTTGCAATGTGAGCATCTGAAAGGTAGAAAGTCGAGCCGTTTACAATCCTTTAAACTACAGTGTGTTCCAAGGGAAAGCAAATCCGCTTTTTCCGCCATAACTGAGCTTTCATCCAAATGTTACGATTCACAGTTCTTATGAGCTGTTTAAATAGATTTTGCTGAGTCATTATTATGGTACTTTTTCGTCACTTTTTTGCTCAGTCACCGGGACAGTCACGTCCAGAAAATTCTGGAATAAGAAACCGCTGAAAAGAAGTTACTACCTTATATATTGGTCACAGAGTTTGTCACAGATGCATCGTGCTACTTTTCGATTTGTAGTCGTCTCCTTCGCAGACCGTGAGACGTACTGTAAATTTCCGAGCTTATATTTTTCAAAGGCCCTTGAGGGGCTTATGTACGGAGGGAAATTTGCGTTTCAAAAATCGATTGAACTGGCTTGCGGTGGGAAGGAAATTTACCATTTTTGCTTTGCTTTTATACTTTGTATTTGAGGGCAAATTCCGAGACCCCCAGGGGGGTCTTATATTGAGAGGGGCGATTAGGGTTTTTTGCGTTACGAGTTTGGAGGGCTTATATTTGGAGGGGCTAATACATTGAGGGGCTTATTTTCGCAATTTTACGGTATTTCAGGGTCGTCACGCAACGCTCCTCCTCAGTTCAAAAAAACATGCGGAAAAGCGTTGGGTGACGACCCTAAAAACGGCTACAAAGACTGTGAAGGAGACTACTACAAAATGTAAGAGCTCGAGATAGTTTTTAGGGGGAAGCGGCCGTACGTAGCCGTTGTGTCGTCACGCAACGCTTAAGGTGAGGAGCGTTGTGTGACGACACAGTTAAACGGCTGCGTTGGAGACTACGTATAGCCCAACTTGAATTTTAATTTTAAGGATATCCTTCTCATGAATTGTACATCTGAATGATATCTAAATATGCAAAGCTTTGTTTTATTTGCAGCTGTGATATCATGAGCTCTCATGGGAGTACACATATCTGGGAGCGCCAAATGTCGCTTACGTTACTCACGCAAGGTCACATGGGACCTCATTGTGCAATAGTGTGCGAGAATGCAGCTGGGGTTTGTTGCTAACAGAGTACCCATAAGTGAATGAACTTGTAGGCAACACATTGTTTATCGTTTGCAGTAAAGAAAGCACTGGTTATTACCACTTACGACATCATGGCGAAGATAACAGGTAAGGTTAAATGTTCGTCAGAAATTTAACAGTCCTTTGTTGCGTTTATGCTGTGACATTTCTGATCGTGTCAGCTGGTATTTTGAAAGATAATGAATGGTATGAGTTGCGTTGTCCGAAGATTATAAGCTTAAATTTTGTACAATGACTGAGATGATTCTATTCTGAGATTTTTTGATATTTGTTGATATTTTTTGTAGCTGGCCCTGTTGTTGAGATGAAAGGCGATGAAATGACGAGGTATGGAAAAATGATGGATAAAAGGAAGAGTTGACAAGCTTTTATTCTCTTCAGTAAAAATGTTAAGTGGAAATTCAAACTGGCACTATATTTCTGTAAAGGGAGTACATTTAATAAGCCTATATTTTACGCGAACGACAGATCCAAAAATAAAAAAGAGCAGCCGCAAATAGCAATTAAACAAGTAATTTCAACATAGGTATATTAATTAAGTAAGCGCAACTCTCATTTTAATGACTAGAGCAGTACCCAGGTTCGGCATACTTAGGATGAGACTTCGGTTAATCATGACAGCTTTAAAAATGGCATGTTTTGTCGTAAAGTTGAGTTGCAAAGAAAATAATAGTCGGAAAGAACGCGGAAAAATCGTAGTGGGCTTTCGAGAAATACTTCCTGACGCATGCAATATTTTTTATTGCATATAAATTTGCTATGCTTCGCAACACATAAACTTAAGCTTATTGTGCGCCGAAAAATTCCGAACGCAGTCATCCCACTCCGAGCAACGTCTTGTTGTGAGCATTTGACAACACTGCAAACCTGCCCTGTCCAGTATTTTAGTGTGTGTGTTTTTTGAGTGCCTATTGTGGATTTTTTATTTATTAAGTTTTTATTCTCTACAAATGATAGAAGACAATGAACCTATTTATTGAACTTTGTTATTTGGTGAAATTCATGATCAGCATCCTTTCATATCCCGTGCAACAAAATAGTGCATCAGTATGATAACTCTTTTTTTTTATTATTTGCATTACAATACATTACAGATACATTACAATACGATAGACTATAAACTTAAACGCTCTAGTAACTTTTCAAAAAATAATAAGTACATTCCAAGAACACACGTTTAAGGGTACAGAGTCCAAAGGCAGAGTCCACTTCTTATTAAATTTGTCCATTTTATCAGTTTTAACACATACATACTTTTCTGTTTCATACTTGATTTTAACAACTCATATCTTTTTAGCAATGATAAGTGTGATAAAAAGATTGTGGTTCTACATGGGTGGTTTTAGCATGGCCAAGCCAGACTTGCAGCAAAGAAAAGTCAATATCTGCTATCAAATTTAGACTCCCAGAGCTTTTCTTCGCCAAAATCATCCTTTAAAGCAGGGGATTATTTTCTTGGTTTTTGGTTAAAATCTAGACAAAGCAAGTGCCTTATAAAATTAATAATCTTGTAGCCTGTGAATACAGTTTCTCCTTGCTCCTCACTGCTAGGGACGTTTCACCCGACTTAGCGACAGAAGTTCCATACTGTCGACGTAAATCAATGTTTACATTATAAATCCGGTAGTCATGGTGTTCCAAATGTAAATTTGTTTGATTTTTTGTTTCTCCTAGTACGTTATGGTAAAGTTTAGTGTTCTTCTGCAAACAAGCTCCAGCAAAACTCGGCCGGATGCTTTTTCTAAAGAAGAATATATTCTGGGAATTTTGTAGTAGATTCATCACGTTTACATTTGAACTTTGTAGCCCTTTGTCTGTCATTCATAAACAGTTACTAAAACAATATAAGTACTATCTTAAACAATCAGAGCTCGTGACAAGATTCCAGACAGATTTTTCGTCATCAGTCTCGAATTTCTGACGCTGACTCACAGATTTTCCTCCAGGCCAAACATCCTTAGCTGCAAGGAGCAAGGAGAAATGGCTGTAGCCAAAGGCTACTAATATCTTGTAGCCTGCCCCAGGCCAAAGATAGTGGGGACAATAGATCAAAAGAAAATGTGCAAAACCACTTGACTGGGTAGATTGAGGTATTTAAGAAGTTGCTTACAGGTTTTCTCCTCTCTACCTGCTGTTTTTCATTTGCTTGCTTTTTCCGTTGCTCACTCGCTTTTTCACTTGTCTACATTTTGACTGAGAGCCTGGCACAGGCTACTTGTCTTGTCTCTTGCTACCTCGTGCCCTGTTAGACCATTCAGCTTTAGTGGGTTGGTATATCAATTTTGTCATTAATTATTGTGGGTCTAGCTTCTAGTTTTTCACAACCATCAACTGTATATAGGGCCAAGTTGGAAGGAAAATGGGGTGTTTTTACTACAAATAATAATGATGATGATGATGATAATAACAATAGTTATAATTATACCTGGATTTCTGAAAACCGTGTTAGCAAAAAAAACAACTCAATCTACTACTTAGCAATTTAAAACAATGAAAAAGCCTTTAAAAGCCTTTATCTGATGCCAGGCAGTAAGTTAGTGGCCCCTAGAAACATTTCGCCAAGTCCAAATGTAAAAAGACACAAGTGTTAGAACATTTATTCAGTAATCTGACTCCATGAAGTTTCTTACCATGGTCATTTCAGTCTGGAAATTTTTAAGCTGAGTGAAATGTAGCCAAAAAGTGCCTGATTAAGGCTTATATAACAACATTAGGCGTACATTACTTAAATAGCTAGCAAAACACTGCTTTTTTCTCAGGTTGATAAATGACAGGATTTTGCATGAAACAGACAACAAAATATTGAAACATAGTGCACAAATTATCATCTGATCTGAAAAAACCAGCCTACAGTGTATATATGGTTCAAAGCCAAGTACCTGCTGAAACTAGCCCTAGATCCAATTTTGCTGAGTGGAGAATTAGTTTTCTAATTGTGTCAACTTTTTCCCATTTCAGAGCTTTACATGATGCTCTTCAGGAAACTTTTCTCATGGTGACCAACAACAAAATTTAATTCAGTTAACCAAAGCCAGCTTTAGGCACACACTGATTTCAAATAATATTACTGTCACTTGTGGTAGAGATAGAATTGTGGGTAGGGATGGAAAAAGACCAAAGGGGGATAGAGGGAGGAGAGGGGGGAGGTTAGATAGAAATTCACAAAATTCTGTCCACAGCCACTTCTTCTACACCCAAACCATGAAACAACCAAGATAAGATGCAACATAAAGAAACAACACAGTAAACAGGCTAAGAAAGGGGAAGTTGAGATTTTTTACAAAATGTTTGCTAACCCGGTTTTCATAAATCCAGGTAGAATAATCTTATATTAATGATAATAATTTGCATGTTAGTAACTCAACTGCAGGACTCTGAACTCAACCAGCTTTTCCATCATTTTTTTTTGTTCTTTCAGGATAATATGGGAACTGATCAAGGAAAAGCTTCTGTTTCCTTATGTGGATATGGACATTAAGTCCTATGATCTTTCAATCCAAAACAGAGATCAAACTGATGATAAAGGTGAGATTGCAGTAGTACTATACTGCTATTTGCACTGTCTAAAGGATTCACCTTTTTCACTACTAGGCAAGACTTGATACCTGAGATCCAGAGGTTTCTCCCATTTTGCTTACCACAATCTTGTCATCATCAGCACACCCTTCTCCCCACAGAGTCAAAGCTCATCTGGTAGTCCAGGACAAGGAGATTTTCTTGCTTGGCAAGTAAAATTAAAAGCTGGTTTAGGCAAGTTAATCCTCTAACAAAGTCGTAAGGATAAGCAAGAAGTGGCTCCTGCAGGCAAGAGAAATTTGAGAACTGCTTGCCAAAAGGACAAGTTGGATTCAAGTTATTTTTTTTTTCAAGCCCTGTAGAGTCCCACTCTCCTTTCCTCTAAAAGGCCCAGTCCTCTAAATAACTCACTCTCTCTTCCGAAGAAAGCCATGGTAAACTGGGATTAAAACAACAAACATGTACTTCTGAGACAAGAATCTAAGGCAAAGAAATTCTTAACTCCTGTATGGTTGTGACGTTTAGTTACCATAGAAGCAGCAGAAGCAGTGAGGAAGTACAATGTTGGCATCAAGTGTGCAACAATTACTCCAGATGAGAAGAGAGTTGAAGGTCAGTTTTGAGACAGAACTCTTTCAAAGGGTTGTTGTGTTAGTAGCACTAAAAGTGACTTTTTGAACGTGGCATAATATCGTTCTGTTTATTTATCATAATATAATATTACCACAACTGATTGATAGGTTCCTTCTGGAGGTACCAAGGCACAGATTACGTACGTACAACAAAAGAAACAATACAACCAAACAATAAAGTCCTCTGCAGGCGAACTCTTTTGTTAGGTTCCTTTGTTTCTTTTGTGATGACGGTACCTACAGAAAGACCCGATTGATAGTTTCCTTTAAACATTACAATGATTATTATTTTGAAGCCAGTAGAATATATGGGTAAACAAGAACAATGCAAGTATAGATCAACATTTGTTGCACTTTCTTGTTTCTTTCTCCAAATCGCTGTCTTTCTCACTTTCTCATAAATCAAGGGAAGAATTTCAGATGAGATTAAAAGGCACTTAGTTGATTTTCCATGCAACCCTTCGAACGTTACTTATAATTCATTTCTATTTTATTTACATTTTTCTATGGTTTGAGTTTAAATTTTTGCTTTCTACAACGTGTAATTACTGGAATTACTGTAGTCTGAATACATGTTTTTCTCAATGAATTAATTTTAGTTTCTTGTTCTAAAACCCAGAGTTTAACTTGAAGAAAATGTGGAAATCACCAAATGGAACAATCCGTAATATCCTTGGAGGAACAGTGTTTAGAGAAGCCATTATCTGTAAGAACATTCCGAGATTAGTTTCTGGATGGACAAAACCAATCATCATTGGTCGTCATGCTCATGCTGATCAGGTACATGTACATAAAAAAAATTACTCAGGCTGTCTACAGCTCCAATCATCTTCCAATCATCATATTGTACAAACAAATTAATATACATGTATCTTAATTACCGGTAGTTCCATTTGAAATCTAGCGTGTTTTTTTCATTTTATTAAATGTTTCATGTCCTCCCCAATCAAGATATTAAATAAACTTGCCATGCAAAAGCTAATAAACAGAATGATATTATGTGGGAGTAAAGAAATCAGAAAAAAACTTCAATTATAATAAAAGTTATAACAAAAAAGAAGGAGATAAACAACATACAAAAAAATCAATGATAAAGGTATGTATTACTACTTTAGAAGAGAGGTCAAAAACCATACCTTGTCCAGTGGCACGTCCCCATATAGGCCATGTAAGGGAGTACCTCCAGAAAACCTGATGAAAATATGTGAAATACCCTGAGACAAGAAAACACCCTGTGAGAAACCCTGTGAATTTTGCACAGCCTAAATTTTGAGAAAATTTCAAAATTTAGGACCCCGTGATAAAATCTGCTACTAAAACAAGCCTGTGAAAAAACCTATGATCAAAGTTTAAGAAAATTGCCCAAAAAACACCTCTGAAAAATCCTGTGAAAAAAAAACTATGAAAACAGTTTTGAGAAAATTGCTTAAAAACGCCTCTGAAAAACCATATGAAAATAGCTCAAAGGAATATCTTGATGTTATGTAAATTCTTAACATTAACACAGGAATAGAAGGCCTGGCAAGCAAGAGTTCATGTGCCTTTTTAACTGTCTAGCTATTGTCCACAGTCATTTAAGACATTAAGCTCTAACCCTTGTCTAACTGATGTTGGTATGTATGTTTTAATTCCTTCAGTACAAAGCAACAGACTTTGTTGTCCCTGGTCCTGGTAAAGTAGAAATGATGTACACACCTTCTGATGGCAGTGAACCAGTTAAATACCTTGTACACAGCTTCTCTGGTGATGGTGGAGTGGCAATGGGAATGTTTAACACAGATGAGGTAAAACTTATTTTATTGAAGTATCATAAATAATTAAGTATTGTTATTTTCTTTTGAAAAAATGCTTTGATCAGTTTGTTGTGGGTTACTGTCATCGTTGCTAGACCTTTCTATTGATTATGAGCTGTTAATCTCCCTTTAGCAGATTAAAAGACAGTTGATGACTGCAAGCACATTTAAATGAGTGTTTTCTTTTTCAGTTCAGTCTAATACCTTTTGGACATTGAAAATAAAAATTTAGTTGGTATCAACAAAACGGTATGTTGAGTGGGGCATGATATACAGCTGCAGGTTACGCACAGCTAGTGGTCTATCATAAAAAAAACCTGAAGTCTCTTACTACATGTACACAAGTGATAAACACAGCAGTACTTCTTTCAGATTTTACTGATGTTAAATTATGTCATGACATTCTGTCAACAGTCTATCAAGAATTTTGCCCACAGTTCGTTTCAGTATGCACTACAGATGGGGTACCCATTATACATGAGGTAAACTTACTTTTTACCCAGGTTTTGTAGAATAATATTCTGTTCCAGGCTTTGACAAGAAAAACTTAACCTTCGCCCCTGAGCCGCCCGTATTCGCCCGTGCGGATCCACGTCCCTGCTATCACTTGTGACGTCATCAGTTTTAAAGGTCAATGATAACTGTGTTCCCTAACTTGTGCAGAGTGAAAAGGTCTTTCAAACCATACCAGAATGAGCACAATTCAGTCAGGGACGCCGGAGAAAAAGGCCAAAAAAACATGTAACATTAACTTGGAAATTTCCATGAAAATCTTGTTCCACTACCCACCTACTTTCCCTTTCATCTAATCCTAAGATACTAAAAGCTTTCTTACAAACTTTTCCTACCAAAATGAATCCTACTAAATGCCCAGCAAAAGAAACAAAATGAGGCAAGAAAAGCGAAAAAAGAAGGGAGGAGAAAATTTAAGCGAAAAGTAAAAGTCAAGACTGCTGTGTCACTTTTAAACCCCTCGAAATTTTACTTTCTACGCATGCCCAAACTTCGCAAGCTAATATTTTGCATCTGGATCAGAAGGCCGCGAAGTGTACGAACTGTGAATGGCTTTATGGTACGCTTTAGCTCTTTATAACACGTCAGTGACCAGAAAACCGCTCGACTAGCGTTAAAACGCGTTTTTGGCAAATTTTTCCAGGGGCGAATGGGTTAATGTGCTCATTTTGTTCATGCCAGTGACATATTGAGCTGCTCAGTCAAACTAGATCCTCACTTAAAATGTCCCTTGGGCTTGTATTGCAATATGTCAATTGGGTAGTGAAGAGGGGAGGGTCATAGATGTCTATTCAATTCAACTACTTTTCTTCGTCTACTTTTGGTACTTTTCCTACTGCATTTCAGTTGCTATGTATAGCCAGAAAACTATGCCCAATTACCACACTGTATTTAAAGACTCTTTAATACCAGATTTACTGAGGCCATTCTATGATAGTGTCCTACAAAGTTACATCTTCACTTATGGTTGCTATACATATCATAGGTTAATGTTCACTACCTGATGAACTGGACGGTACATGTAAATGCCTTATGTGAATTGAAAACAAATGCATAATTCAAATATGTTTACGACATGTTTAAAGCACTCGTTGCATACGAAGTTAAACCAGTAAATTCCCTTGAGGTCAGCTTACAGTCGAACCTCCAGTAACGGCCACCGTTCTACAATGGTAACGGCCACCACTGCGCGTCCCGAACTGCCGAGATAACCTCTCGACAATGGCCAGCGACTGACGAAGAAGTCAGGAATGGTCGCAAAATATGATCCTTCCGGCGCGTTGATGATTAATCGCGACAATCGTATTTTGATTGTGCTCCATTTATTCTGCTGCGGTAACCCTAAATTTTCTGCAACACTTCACAGCGAATGGGGTACAGTATGCATGAACTTGGCACAATAAACATGTTGTACTCTCCTAAAAAAAATTGTCATATTACACCCCTGCGTCTCCATAAGGGCCACCTCCCTACAACGGTCACTTTCTTTTGTCCTCAAGGTGGCTGTTGTGGAGAGATTTAACTGTATTTATTTAATCCTCCTTAACTCATTATGTCATCAATTTAATATCTTTTTCAGCACAAAGAACACAATTTTGAAGAAGTATGATGGCAGGTTCAAGGACATTTTCCAAGAAATTTATGAAAAGTAAGTTTACAAAAATCATACCGCTGATTATTGCTATATAAAACAGTATTACAGATTGTCACGTTTTGGACTGTTAGAGTGAGTTAGAATAGAACATGTTTTTAATTGGATAGAAGGGGATTGGGATTCTGGTGTAGGAGAGGGTAGGGACAATAGTCTGGAACGTGGCTTTGGTTGGGGCCATTAGAACTGCGTTAACACGTGTTTCTGATGTAAGTTTTAATTTTTCATTGCTTATTTGCAGAGACTATAAAAAGAAGTTTGAAGAGAAGAACTTGTGGTATGAACACAGGTTAATAGATGATATGGTAGCGTATGCTCTCAAATCTGAAGGTGGCTTCATGTGGGCGTGTAAGAACTACGATGGTGATGTACAGTCGGATTCTGTTGCACAAGGTCAGTGTTTGGGTGGGGGGGGGGGGGGTACTAAAAAAGGTTTTTTGAAGGGAGGCTCCCCCCCGGGGTCTAACCCTTTATCGTTTTTTATACCATTTTTTTAAGGGGGGAGCCTCCCTGTATAGGCCCTTATAAGGGGTATGCCCGGGGTTCGGGGGTGGGTTTTGTCTTGTACTAGCGGAAACCATTCTAACAAATCAAAAAATAAATAGGGAGTCGGGTTGTGTTAGAAGAAAAGGTTGAAGAGGGTTGGTGCAGGATACGCCTGCTATTGGGGGGGGGGGTGGGTGGGGGGAGGGGAGTGATGTGGGGTGTTTGGTGGGGGGGGGGTGGGGGGGGGGGGGGGGGGGGGGGGGGGGGGGGGGGGGGGGTACTAAAAAAGGTTTTATGCAGGGAGGCTCCGCCCCGAGGTCTAACCCTTTATCGTTCTATATACCATTTTTGTCAGAGTGGAGCCTCCCTGTATAGGCCATTATAAGGAGTATGCCCGGGGATCAGTGGTTGGTTTTGTCATTGACTAGCTGAAACCATTCTAACCAATCACAGAAAAACTGATTAAAGAATGAAGAAAGTTTCTCGAAAGTAGCCTGCGTCCGTGACGGTTTTATAAGGGAAGGTCAACGGAGAGGAGGGCAAACGGAAGCAGTGCTCATTCTCGTGGCTTTGCTGCTCGCTCACTCCTCTCCTCAGCACAACTGCTGCTAGCTAGCCAGGGTTTTTTCAATAGTTTTCTCTTTTTTTTTTATTTTTTCAGGAAATGAACCGAGCACAAATCCAGACAATTTTAACTGATTGTAAAAATTTTATTGACTTCAAGGAATGCATGAATGGAACCTTTCTAGAAGCAGGCGTTGTATCAAAACTTTCTAAGACATTTCTTTTACCATCTGGCTGTCAAGTTGTCCAAAGATTCCGCTCAAAAGTGAGCTGTTCAATATCTTTCAAACTACACTTCAATATCTTTCCGATTACACTGTAAAAATTCCGGTCTAACTCACCCACAACCTCGTTCCCAGGGTTTTCTCCTAGACGGGTAGGAGAGAGAACCTGGGTGAATCGTTTTTTTTTTTTTTTTCTGAGTAATTTACGGATCGTGGTGATGTTTTGCAGGTTTTGGTTCACTGGGAATGATGACAAGTGTTCTTGTTTGCCCTGATGGCAAGACAGTTGAGTCTGAGGCAGCTCATGGAACAGTAACAAGACATTACCGCATGCATCAACAGGGGAAAGAGACCTCCACTAATCCAGTTGGTAAGAAACCAGACTGTTCACTGTTCCTTATTTTACCGTAAGACCGTCGAGATCAAAGACTTTGCGTTATGGGTGGCCATCTTGGATGAACATCAAATGTATTTAGGGATCGGGGGGCACGGTTTGAGAGGAGGCGAGAAAGTGCCTCTGTCCCCCTACCTCTATAAACCCCGACGCCCTCCCCCTCGGTACATATGAAACCACCGGTCAAGCCCGATTTTTTTAAGGTTCTTTTTCAACCGCTCAGGTTGTTCATTCTGTTGTGAAGATCATGTTCACTTTAATAACAGGCTTCTCTTCATTTCATTTTAAGCTTTTACTGTCACATTCTTGCAATTTTTTACAAGCCTGCCAGGAAGCTTTATTGTGAGGATGAGCATAGGCCATAGGGCAATTCTTTTTTGTCCTTATTAATTATCTGTTGTGTGTCTTATTTGTCTGCAGCGTCAATTTTTGCTTGGACACGAGGCTTGCTTCACCGAGCTAAGCTTGATGGTAAGTATTAATGTCAAGTACCTGAAGGAACCTGACGTAAAACATTTCTTTAGTCTTAACTAAATGGACCAACTTTCATGAACGCATTTTGATTTGCGTGAAAATGTCACGAGGTAGATAAAGAGCTAGATAAAAAAACATTAGGAGAAGGAATTAATTACGTTTTAGAGGATTTAACGAAAACAAAAAACGAACATGTTAAACTCCCTTTGGCTGTATATACCGGCACTTCTGCATCGAAATTTGCCCTCCGAGTTTATATCTGTCCCCCTAGTTTAGTTCTTTGTAATTCATTTTCTGTGTACTTCATGAAGAGAGGTATCTGCTTGAGAGATAAAACCATCAGAAGGAAGAAAAGACGGAAATAAAAAATGGCTTTAAAAGCAGCACAGCTTTCGTGTTCACCACCGCTAACATGAATTAGAGTTCGCTGTATACTGGCACTAGGCCAGAAGCGCTGGACGGGCAAGAAATCACTGGGACGTCCCGGAGCGAGCCGGCGCGAAATGTGCGCGGAGTCACGCAGACTATTTTTGTTGTTAATAAAATGTTTTTTCAATACGGAGAAAATTGGAACCTTATAAGCTAATTTGGGTGCTCTTCATTCATATCGGTGTCGGACAAAAGTAAAAGGATTAAAACGGGTGTTCACCAAATCGCCTGATTGCAAAAATGTTAAGACAACACCATAGCGTCTGAGACCATTCTCAACTGCTCCTTTGACTGAGGTATCATTGCTGTGTTTTTACCATTCTTGAGTAATGTAACTGGATTGTGGTGTAAAATTAGACATATCACTCAGTAACTTTGTATCTATTGTTACTCCAGGGAACGACAATCTTACAAACTTTTGCCGTACTTTAGAAGAAACCTGTGTTGATACAATCGAAGCTGGTCACATGACCAAAGATCTTGCTGGCTGTATCAAAGGATTGCCGAATGTTCAGAGATCAGATTACTTGAACACATTTGAGTTTCTTGATAAAATAGCTGAGTATCTGGCTGTCAAATTGAAGCAATGCCCGAATCACCATTTGTAGGGTAGTTACTTTCTAGTACCGTAAAATTCCGAAAATAAGCCCCTCCATGTGTAAGCCCCTCCAAACATAATCCCCCCAAACCGGTAACGCAAAAAACCCTCCGTTAAATCGCCCCTCCAAATATAAGCCCCCTGGGGGCTTGTGCTTGGAAAATTGCCCTCAAGTACAAAGTAAAACAAAGCAAAAACGGTAAATTTCCTACCAACTATAAGGCTAGCCCAATCGATTTGGAAACGCAAATTTCCCTCCGTAGATAAGCCCCCCCGAATATCATGAGCCCCTCCAAAAATAAGCCCCTCAAAAAGGGTCGTTGAAAAATATAAGCCCCGGAGCTTATTTTCGGAATTTTACGGTATTTTATATGGAGGGAAACATTTTACCCTTGAATAAATTAATACGGCTACGCCAAAGATGATGAGACGACACATTAGTGACCTTCTACCTGTAGGTAATATTGCAATTCAATTTTTTCGGTTAGTTTTTTTACTCATTTTGCTTTCCAAATAATAATAATATTTTAATTTGTGAAAGAGGATAACTTAAGTTGTAATCAAGTTGACTATTCCGTGACTTTGAAAACAAAAAGCTCATATTTTTAATAATATTAAATTGATTAAAGTTGTTAACTTAATTTTTTTAAAATTAGACTTTGAGCAAAATCAAAGCGAACGAAAATAATATTTTAAATTTGACCAAACACAGATGTTATTACATACACTCATGCGCACCCCAACTGATTGACTGCAAATCTGCAAATACAAAAGAATACTTTTTCTGTGCTGACAGTAAAATTGGGTTTTATTTAGATGCTTTAGATTTCTTCGGTGTCTGTATCGATTGTTTTTAATGGGTAGGTCCAATTCAGTTTTCTCTTAGTTGTATTTTCAGTACAGGACGTTATTTACCATTTACCATAGTCACTTTATTGTTTTACCTGTGCACTCACTTTCGAGTCAAAAAATGTTAACATTTTCGCAACCTGAATAATAAAGATACAGCCTGCAATCTGTTGCGTCAGTAGCCAATAAATCATATTATATTTAGAGACCTTTAAATTCTTAATTTGAGTTAAAGTTCCTTCTCGTATTCTCAAAAAATAGAGACCCCGGAAAGCTTCATTTCACTTTTTTTTTTTCTCACAGGAAAATAATAGCACTGTAATCATTATTGAAGGAGGTTAAGCCCTCCTCCGATCGCAAAATGATAAAACTAAAAATGTTTCGCCGTTTTGTTCTTCATAACCAACGGGCGCTTACCATATTTGGAAGATGCGAGGAATATACCATCAATTAGATGGTATATTTGATTGGAAACGAGGCTGATCGATTGTATATTTGATTGGAAACAAAAACCGAGGCTGCTTGGGCAAAAGTGAACCGGTAGGGCTATATACCGTTATTTGTTACTCTCAAAAAAATGAGAAGGAAGCCATTACGTCTTGTGGGTATACCTAGCATAAACCGCATAACATATTAGTAGAGTGAGTCGCTCTTACTTTAGGAGGGAAAAGCCTATTAGAAGGTGCGCTTACTTCCCTTCATAGTTATAGTCAACCCAAGTCAAGCTTGGGCAAAAGTGAACCGGTAGGGCTATATACCGTTATTTGTTACTCTCAAAAAAATGAGAAGGAAGCCATTACGTCTTGTGGGTATACCTAGCATAAACCGCATAACATATTAGTACAGTGAGTCGCTCTTACTTTAGGAGGGAAAAGCCTATTGGAAGGTGCGCTTACTTCCCTTCATAGTTATAGTCAACCCAAGTCAAGCGTACCCCCAAGACATTAATGAATTTATTATTCGAAAGTTGAATCCGTTGGTAGTTTTCAGATTCTTGTCTGCATTCTTGCATGCGTAATGAGCCGTGAATTCACACTCGAAATTTCTACCAGCTAAGTTTCCCTGAATTTGGCGTAAATGACTTCTATGAAATTTAACCCATTTAAACAATTTCAATCTGACCAAATACAGATAAGTTCTCGTAAAATATTCACTGCTCTGCTCAGTACGCATGCAGGAATGCCGATTTGAATTTAACACTAGTTACCGCAACGACCAACGCATTCATTTTTCAAATAATCAATTGATTAACAGAATCTTAGGGGGTACGCTTGACCTGCCTCGACTGTAATGGATTTGGGCGGGCAGGGGTGGGGGCTAGTTCGTAAATTCGAGCACTGACGGTTCCTTCAGAAAATATGAGAATAAATGGAAGAACTCACTAACGTTCCTACGGGCTCTTCACTCGGGTATAACTACGAGTACTCCCTTGTTTTCCTCAGGGATAGTAGAGCGAGTGAAATACGCGAGCACGCGTGAAAAACGCCACCCGCGAGGAAGGTCACACGCGAAGGGAAGCCAGCACCTACCTCCGCGTGTCACCTTCCTAACTGTGGCGATTTCCACATGCACTCGCGTAATTAACTCGCTCTGCTATGCCTGAGGAAAATGAGAGACTGCTCCTAGTCTTCTATCTCCTTGTTTCAGTAAAGTGGAGGCGTCAGTCAGTTTCCTCTCCTTATTCGGGCCACACTTCTTGGATGCATAGATAACCAAATTTTCTTACCTATGGTGCTCCGCTGCGACCGCTTCGCGCGCGAGAGAACTCCGCTATTAACTACTGTCCGAGCTTATGTAATCGCGTACTTCTCTTCATGCTTTGGTCAGCAACTGGAAAGGGCAAGAGTTCTAGAGACATAACCAGCTCGAAATTTAAAGTTACTACTCGTACGTAAAAACTCGTTCTTTAATAAAATCAATATCTTTTAAACAGTAACGCCCCGTACTAATTACAATAATTACATAAAATATTTCGAAATAACAACTGTAAAAAAAATTGCAAAATTTTCATACATCCAAGGTCAATTGCGAGAAACACGGTCTGTTTAGTTCCTGAAACTAATTTGAACATATGAGAATTTTACCCGAGGCAGAAAATATTTGAACTGGGTATCAGTTTTAACGTTTTTCTTCTACCCTTAAGCGGCTTCGTGATTTTTAATTTTCTTAAGAATTATTTTTAAAGTTTCACATTTTTATTTCACTTTGAATGCTGACCTTGATGTTGGCCCTTAGTTTAAGCGCATCAATTTACTCAAGGGGCAAAGCTCAGCCGAGCTATCAAAAGGTCAGCTTTCGACCTGTTTGCAGAAACATATTTCATTACTAGACCTATTACTAATTTGGGTTTGACAACCAACTTGCAGAGTCTAGAAATAAAACGAATCCTCATAATTTTTCGCATGACCTAGTCATTACATGGGTTGGTTCAAATTACTGCTCTAATAACTCCTAACTAGAATAAGGCCACCGACGTTTAAAGATCCTTTCTGAACTAAACCCTCCAGTAAAGCTAGGGCCACCAGACTATAAGAAACCTACATTTTTCTTGGCCTTTGAAACAAGGCGGCGTATCAGAGGTGTTATTTTAGTTCAGCATGGATTGCTGAAAAGGTGTAGCGATCTAAAAGATGTTAGCGATTTCGGGGATTATATTCGAGATACTGAATGACTGTATGTAAAACTGAATTCTACGTGTACCGCAGCGATCGCTTCGACAATCTTTGAGACGTACGTTTTCACTGGAAAAAGCATTTGAATTTTCTGCTGTGAAAACTCCTAAATAGACTAACGAATCTGTTTAAGGAGCCTTACTCAACCCACCATTCTGCAGTAAGGCTGGAGCCCAAAGCTTTTTCGTTTGCGGTCGTTTCGATACAAGTTTGTTTAATCGAGTTCTAATTGTTTACGAACATGGCTTAAAGAACGAAGAATATTCACCCAAAATGTTTTTCATGTTTATGCGCAAACTTTTTTATACTTGAAGTGATCAAAAATTTTGTGCAATTTCACAGTTTAAGTTAGTATCGAAATGACCGGTTTCCCTACACACCTGTTATTAAGACAAGGTGCACTGTTGGGGTCATTCATCTCCGATCTATTGTTACAAGTTTGTTTAATCAAAAGCGTGAGAGATCCTTCTTTGAGCGCCAGGAATTATGAGATGGATCTATCATGCTTGAAGAAGCATCACTCGATATCGGGTTTTTGCTAAGGGCCTCGTGGGATCGTGGCGCCCTCCAAGGGCCAAGGGAGGTGCATCGTCTACTCTTGAGAAAGGTACATCATCTTTCTTCAGAATTACTGGTTCTGAAATCACTTGAAAGTAGCAGAGGATTGGCTTAAATCATGATCGTGATTGTGATCATAATTGTGATCGAGATTGTCATCGCGATCGTGACTGTTATCGTGATTGTGATCGAGATTGCGATCGTGATTGCGATAGTGATTGTGAACGCGAGTACAAACCTTAAAACTCTAAACTTTTAAGATACATTAAAAAATTACTGGTCATTGAACGTTGTATGTTGTAACCTCATTATGTTCAAACATTCCATGTAGATCGGCAGTAACTTTTACGCTGGGTGGTAGGGTGCCTCTGAGCCTTAAAGGCACCCTTTTTTCACCCTAAGTTGCCTATTTAACCAATGAAATAGTTAATAGATATGATACTAAGGAATACTGAAAACGCCCAGTTATTATCGTTCAGCTAGTGGACCGAGTTCTTTTCAATATCGTTTCTACTTGGAATAAATTAGATTCGAATTTAACGACACGAAATTTGGTTACCCTAGTTTTCAAGATATTTGAAATTTTTTGTATTTTTTAGAGACTTTTTCAAAAATATAAGTAATTTTTTAAATAATACGCATTTAATATTTAAAACTTATTTGCGGCTCAGAAGCAATAATCTATAATAATCAATAATTAATTAATAATCGATAACCCCAGCAATTAGGGTGAGTACGGAAAGTTCTTTGAATAAAGTGAGGCCTACGAGATACCAGAAGTAAAATAATGTTGATTATCTATGCATTTTCCACTTGGGTTTTCTTGCCATAAGTGAGTTCAGCACCCCCACTCAACAACAAATCAATTCCAGTAGTGAAAGTTGCTTCGGCAGCCAGGTATAAACAGGCTTGACCAGATTCTTCAAGAGTTCCCATGCGACCTAACAGCTGTAGAGAAAACAAGAAAGAGTCTGTCGGTAGGGGGAGCATAACCAATCAAAGCTGAGATACATATCGCCAGCACCAAGCGCACTAGACAAGTTTAAACAAGCTGCAATTTGGTTTATTTTTAAAACTTTTTTCTCGTTGGAAGATTTTTTGAGATTTTTAAGCCTTACAAAATTTGTAGCAAGAAACGCTTTGGTAGAAAACCTCTCTAGTGGAATTTAGCCACAAGTCACCAAAATTAGGTACTGCAGGACAAAGGAAATTGCGAATAAATTGAAGGTGATCAAGAGATTGGATTAGAAGTATTGGCAATATCTTCTGGTGTATTTCACGATAATAATAATAATAATAATAACTATTTATTCACAAATCCAAATCGAAAAAGTGAAAAGGAGATAAAAGAGGTTATCCCTTTCTTGTTTATCTCCTGATAATAAAATACATTAAGAAATAAATTATTTACAACTGTTTAAAATAGTAACTATATATGTATATAAAACATCACACAGTAAAAGAACTTAGTGTTCACTAGAAAAATCTATAAGATAACGTCTCAGTCTGTTCTTGAAAATATTCAAATTCTCCGCCTCAGCAACTTCCTTTGGGAGATTGTTCCACTTATCTATTATGCGTATAAAAAAAGAATGTTTAAAACTATTTAAAGTTGCTGATGTAAGCTTAAGTTTAAAACGATGGTTGGCTCTTAAGGGCCGAAAATCATGTGCAAATGTAAAAAATGCCGAGGGATCAAGTCCATTAAGTCTATTTATTGTCTTATAACACTCGATAAGCGACGAAAATAATCTTCTTTGTTCAAGTGATGGCCATTTAAGGAGCTTTAGGCGTTCTTCGTAAGGCATGTCTTGCCCAACATTTCCAAGGGCGCATTTAGATGCTCTACGTTGTACTTTCTCCAAGGTGTTTAAGTCTTTTTTAAGGTGCGGACACCAAACTGGAGAGCAGTACTCGAGTATCGGACGTACTAGACTCTTATAAAGTTTTGAAAACAACTGAGGATTTTTAGGACCCACCGTTCGCCTAATGAATCCAAGCACACTATTTGCCCAAAAATTTACTAAACGATGTGATACACCTCCACACACTTTTCCGGATGTCTGTGAATATATTAGCCATACCATTGCCAGGCACAAATTATCTTCACAATAGTTTCCACTACAGTGGTGCTGTTTTCTGGAATGGCGTAAGACATGAAGGATCTCTAAATACATTTATATTTAACTAGAAGCACGGCATTCGTGGATATCAGGCTTTTAGATTATTACATTAATTAACTGGTGTAACAATTACAATAACATGATATTATCCTCAGGTGATTTGGATTTTGACAAGCAATCAGATGTACATATGTACCTAAATAAATTCAGACATGTTGTACCTGAATAAATCGTTAACTGTGTGTAAATATAGATTACTGTACTGACTGAAAACCTATCATTTCCATGCTGATCCCTTCGTAAGAGCAACATTGAATGACTAAAGTTTTGTGCTACACTGCCACAATGCTAAGGAAAAGAAAAATGAAAAAATAAAACCCAAGCCAAGCTAACATACCTGGGCTTCTTCACCATCTTTCTTACTTTTCTCAAAGTCACCAGTCAACGTGGCCAACTGGTCCCACAATGGTGTCCATACATTACCAGGTGAAACACTGAAAATTATACAGGACTATTTTTAAGAAACAACTGTTCATGGCGTTTTCTTTTTTGAGAAGTAGTCTAGTAAACACAGATGAACCTCCATTAAGCGGCCACCCTCAGGGTACCGGCAAGTGACTGCTTATCAACAGATTAGTCACAAAAACTGTGAAAGGTTTGAACCAGGAGTCATTTCAAAAGTAGGCTGAGTTTGATTGTCCGGGTAAACGTAGTCCTGAATAGGACTGTTATTGTTGACAGTGACTGACTGACTACCTGTTCGGTAGTCATCTTCAGAGTCAAAGTGAGTTGTATCACGTCAGTTGATGGTATTATACTCTGGTTACTTTCAGTTTCTTAAACATAGTTTTACTGCTGCTAATGTTTCAACCTGCGGAGATGAGTGGTGGAGCGGTTAACACCTCAAACTCCGAATCTGGAAGTCAGGGGTCCAAGCCTTGCCCATCACGTTGTTCCCTTGGACAAGGAATTTTACAACACTTTGTCTCCCTTCACCCGGGTGTATAAATGGGTACCGGCAACATACTGCTGGGGGTAACCATGTGATGGACAAGCATCCTGTCCATGGGTGACTAGCAATACTCCTAGGCATGCTTCATGTGAAGGAAACTAGGATAAGCTCCAGCTGTTTGTACCTTTTGCTCTTGTGCGCCTTTACCTACCTTTTACCTATTTTCCAGCTTACAAAATTATTGAGATAGTAGAGAAAAAAATAATGTTGAGGAGGGGTGAAAACATCCATTACACAGTCCATCATTAGATAGCCTAAAAAGAACATAATCTGTTATTAAAAAAGGGGCTTCTTATGCTATGTGTTAAATGACTGATAATCACTTTTAATTACCTGTTAACTCGTACTCCATATTTAGCCTCATCAACTGCGAGCGCTCTTGTCATTGATGTTATCCCACCCTTGTAATACAAGAAAGTCACAAGTTAATTATCACGGCCCTTTTTCTCTCTACGCTAAAATCCCATCGCCAGTTATGAAAACTACAGAACTGAAGGTTTGTTACACCCTGTAAAAAGAAAAATCCTGACATATTTCTCGTCAAAATTTTATTTGGTATATCTTTTTTTTTTTAGTTTGTTTTTAAATAAATCGGTACATTTGAGAAAACTGCAGAACATGCATGGTTATAAAATGTTAAAATGTTTATTTATATTACCTTGCTTGCAACATATGCTACAGCTCCAGGCTGGCCAATTTGTGCCACTAAACTTGACATGTTGATAATGTTTCCTTTTGTTTTCCGTATGTGAGGCAAAGCAAACTGCAAAGAAAAATATGTCAAAGGCAATTTAAAATGGCAAAGTCTCAAATTTTAACTAAATTTCCAAATCTATGGTGGCCAACCAGAAAAACAATTTATGTTTCACTTGGCCACCATACTCAAACTTTCATATTAATTCTAAAGAGACGTTTATCTTGTAAACATCAATCTATATTGAGTGAAAATAAACCGAACTGAACTAATTTAACATAAATTAAACTTATTTCATATTTACAAAAATATTTTACACATGGCCTTGTTTTGACATACCGGTACATAGAAATATTTTTACATCATGAACCTTGATGCCATGAAGGTATTTTTTAAGATGTTGTTATAGCTACACGGGCTCACGGGCTACACGGGCTATTTGACGGGCTCCTGACGTCCCTTAAAAAATCTTCCTCCACTTTTGTCTTATGAAAAGTAACAATTAAACAGAAATTAAACACCTGCATATACATGTAACTAAAAAGCCTAGAACAACAATACTGTACTTACTTTACAAAATAAGAAATAATTTACAAGGTTTAGATTCAACAGTTCTCTGAACAAATCCACTGAAGTCTCATCAATTGTTTTACTTGGGGGATCTGTCAACAAAGCAAAAAATTCAAGATGATGAAAACATAAAAAGCAAAACATCTTTATTGACGAAATTCATATAATTAGAATCACAAACTGTAATAAAAATACTCCACTACCATAAAGGCACCCTCATTTCAGTCACTCAAGTTGAGGCTTCACAGGAATGGAGAAAATGAGCCAGTCCCTTCAGCTGACCTATTTTAATTCCTTTTTTTCATTCCCTCATGCAATCATCCTGATGTGGATTGCCTGCAGTCTAATTAAACGCCATCTCTCTTCATTAATTTTACAACCTTGGATATTACTTAAACCAAGGAACATTAATAACAAAGATAGCTGAGTTTTGCAACTGCAAAACTTCAGATTAACCTTAATAGTTTGCTGTTTGTTATGACAAAGAAGATAAAACTTGGTTTCTCGACTTACGCCATCCAGCATTGTTGATGAGGCAGTCAATGCAACCATACTTTTCAACTGTCTTCTCCACTAAATTCTTTATTAACATAAAGAAAGACACCGTTAATAAAATTGTCTTGAATTGATATGAATGAGTCATAAACCAAAAGATTCACTTTTGACTGATTGAGAGTGTTACCTTTAATAGTGAGCTGAGAGAGCTGTGTTGGGATGACTGTGGCTACATACACCTTAACAGTCAGTTTTAACTGATTGAGTGCACTAAAGGGTTAGCTGAGAGGGCTGTGTTGGGATGACTGTGGTTATACACCATAACAGTCAGTTTTACCTGATTGAGTGCACTAAAGGGTTAGCTGAGAGGGCTGTGTTGGGATGACTGTGGTTATACACCATAACAGTCAATTTTATCTGATTGAGTGCACTAAAGGGTTAGCTGAGAGCTGTGTTAGGATAAAGATGGTCATTTTCTTCGGGAAGCAAGGGCAGTAGGTATGGTCAAGATGGATTTGGCACTGGGTTCGAATCCTAAATGTAAAGCTTCAATGTGATAAAGAATGGTAGACAAAGAATCTTTACAAGGATGCCCTACTGTACTTCTAAATCATTCTTACAGTAAGCGTTGACTTAATGAGTGTGCTAGCAGGGTGTTGTCAGACAGCTGTGTTGGGATGTCTGTATTTATAGACCAAAAAATTTAATTTTGACTGATTCAGCATGCCAGCAGAGTGTGGGAAGAAAACTTAGTTGTATCTTAGGATGCTGGTAGTACATGTAAATTGACATGAATTTCAAACTAAGATAAATAAGGTACACCGTGTAAGACAGTGAACACATTAAAGTGTTGCAAAGATTGTTGCAAGTAACAGACCCTTCCTCAGTTTTTTCAACTTTTGAACTGTACCAGTCGGGGACAATCTGTCGATACCACTGCCAAAATTTAAAGTGATATGTCTTAAACAAGAAAAAAATAATATAGCTCCACAAAGTTACAAAAATTTAATTAGGATTTTGCCTCTTCCTGGTTTATATTTGTTTGTTTTCAATAAATCACCTTCAAACTTGACAATTTTACTACAGTGTAAAGGTCCTCCTCCAGTGCAGTTGACAATCATTCCCTAACTTGTCCATGTCGAAATAGGAAAAAACCGTGTCCAAAGGTCTATTGATACCAGAAAGTTAGGGTTTTTTAAAAAAAAATGACTCCAGATTGGAGGGACTCTAGAAAGTAAACTGACCTTGATATCTTCCTCTTTAGTAACGTCACATTTGATAAAGTATGCTTCTCCAGGACCTGTGCCATTTAGTTCTTTTTCAAGTTTTTCCCCTTCAGCCTCTGAAGGCACAACACAGAGAATACAGGTGGTATGATGTAAGCATAACAATACAATGTACAAAATAAAGACCTGATAGGGGTATACTTCCCAATGATATAATACATTTACTGCCCAAAGTACTGCCCAACAAAGTCGACCACATTCACAAACGTACTAGCTGTGGTATAATAACACATCAAACTAACTAACAAGAGAATGTATTGTGCACAATTTATAGTGTGTGTCCCAATAACAATGAACAGTACAGCCCAAAATAATGCATGCATAAGAAGTGGCACAAGAAGTTCTTGCATTGCAAGAACGTGCAATGAATAAAACCAACCAACAAAAAAATATCACTCACACAAACACCACCAACTTCTTGTAGGTGAAGCGGCAGGACTTTTCCCAGGGGGATGGGTGACGGGTGGCAGGTGGTGGGTCAGGCCGTAAAAAATAAAAAAATAAAAATAAAAAGGGGAAACCAAAAAAAGAAAAAAAATAATAAACATTACAAAAAGCGATATTTTAGCAATATTATTCTACACGATGTCGCATGCACGAAATAGCTTGAGGAACTCATAAAAATTAAAGTAATATTTATCCTGCGACCAGACAAGTAAGATCGCATTCTCTTCTCGACATGTTTGTACAGTGTCTCAGATTTTTGACAAGTGTGTTTGTTCTTTTGTTATAGGTTGGGATAAACATTGCATTGCCTGTGGGATAAATCTTTGCCAATTTGGTTCCCGACTTGTAGTTTGAAATGTACAAAATGTCTATTTCGAGAAAACAAGGAAATTTTCATAAGACTAAAGCAACAAAGCTGTCAATGTTAATGCATGCAAGAGAAGGAGCAAGACAATTTTGACACAGCATGGACCGTTTTCGCCGCATGTGGCGTCTCGGACGGGAATTGATCTCGTTGTGTATATATACAAAAAGGATCTGCATTTCTTAAATAGTACTTAAAAATACTGATTAGGATGGCAATCATGCCGCATACTAGGGCAAAAACTGAGCTACGACACAGGAGGCCGAATCTCTTGCAGTCTGTTATAAACACGGCTAAACGGTTGGGGAAGTGCAATCATCTTTCGTCTTGATGTGGAAGAAAAAGCAAACTAGACAAACAAGATCGACACGTGGCATGTGTCTTGCTTGACATAGCCCATTTTCATTTGACACACCGCGTGTAGCCTGACAAAACATCACTTGCGGTGCGGAGCAAGAGGAGAGGTGACTGTTTTCACAGGCATGATTTCTCTTTTTTTTTTTACCATTATTAGTCCGCTTAAGTAGATAAAACAAAACAAGACAATACTTTTATTTGGAGTCTGGTAGCTAGTACATAAACGTTGAAATTATTTTAAAATTACAACTTACAGTTATATCATTATCAATAATAATATTTTATTATAATATTTTATTTTCATATATATTTTTAACCCGCCAACTGCCACCCGCCACCCGCCACCCGTCACCCATCACCCGCTACCCCTCACCCGTCACCCGTCACCCGCCACCCGCTACCCGTCACCCGTCACCCGTCACCCGCCACCCGCGGAAAAGTCCTGCCGTAGGTGAAGACTTATAAACTACTTCTTGTGCCTTGTTGAGGCTTGCGGTAATTTTTGTAGCTTCTTACAGTAAAATTATTGACTTCTTGGGTTTCAAAGTTCTTGTGGGTAAACCACAAAAATATGGCATTTTCACTAATTCTTGCAGTCAGGCACAGCTATTTTATTGTACATAATAAATTTTCACTCTGCAATCTCTGCAATGTCAAGAAGAGTCTGCCCTACTTAATACAAGTCAGAGATAAATACATGTAAATTCTCTCCCCAGAATCATTGGCCTAAAATGATGAAGATCTAACTCAAAATAGCACAAAAGTTTAAGTAAGGTGAACAGAAATATTATGAAACCGTTTTATAGAAATGAGGACTTGTCAGTGAAACACCTTTAAACTAAACTTGTTTTACATGGTAATTAACATCTATTGTCTGATGACCAATCCTGCATTGCTGCAAAAATGCGCCCCTTGAATGCGAGCTGCAGTAACATTAGGACAGTCGCTCCTCTTTTTCTTGCCTCTCTACCCTCAAGGCTATGAAACCAAGACAGCCCCTCAAACTGTTAAGTGCTCGATCTTACAAAAAAATAAGGGACTCAATGAACAGTCTAATAGCAATGCATCAATTCTGAGTATACTACTTGTATCATAAAATATAAAACACTCGCAGCGCAGATTTGTTTATTATGAACTCAAATAACAATCATTTTCAAAAACTCCATTTAAGGCTATTACACTGCAGCTATTTAGCCGCTATTTAACCTTTGAAATATTAATGTTGCTTAGAATCTACTGACCATGAGTGTTCTACATTAAAATAAATCTTCCCAACAGAACTCACATATTACAATTTGCTTCATATTGGAACTTTTCTGCACCATATAATATGGCCTCTAACAATTCCACATAATTTTCCAACATTTTTTTGCACTGTATGGAGGCAGTTGTACTCCAAAGAGTAAGAATGAATTTGTGATGTGACTGGAGTGTGGATACCAAACATTTTTCCATATTTGTTCTGGGCAGAAGGGTTAAAATGTCAGTAATTACCAGAAAATTAACATACAATATGTTCAAGAAACTTACCCCCACGAGCACAAAAGACAACTTTGGCACCAGCTTTCACTAGGAAACAAAACGGTGTTAAAAGACTTTGAGTAAACAGAAAATAGTTTTCCACATTTATATATCCATGCTCACTCCTATTTTATTTACTAAGTAACAGAAAACAATAATTCATTATTCTGCCTTTGGATTTTATGAATCAGTCAAATCCAACTGTAAGCATACATGAGCATAGAAGTGCCCCTAAATTGTATTCAAATCCCAGATCAAAAGAAATTTGATTCAATAAAAAAATGTTGATTCATATACGTCGATAGCTCCCCACATCACGCAGTAAGTTTCCCACATCTTGATAAGCAATGTTTAGTTATATCAGGACAGCAAACTACATTGGTATCAAGGGTAGGCAAATGCCCAGACCACACAAAATTTGCTAATGCCCCCACCCCCACCCCCCCCCCCAGCGGTTTTCACTTGACTGTCGTAAAACCAAAACCAAAGTAAATACACTAGCCAACCAAAGGGCGTAGTAAAACCAAAACCAAAACCAAAACCAATCCCTTTCGACAGTCAAGTGAAAACCGCTCTAATAACTGAAACATAATAAACACCATACGATTTTGACCGCTGAAAGAAATTGAAGGATTTTTTTAGTTTAGTTTTCTTTTTTCTTTTTTTTTTTTTTTTGATGGGGGGGAGTCTCTATTTGTTTGTTTTTTGTCTTTTTTGCTTATTTATAAACTTTTTTAATAAATTATTAAGTAACCTTCTTATGAGTAACGATTTTGCCGTTCTGTTATACAAGAAATTCGAGTCGGAAAGCTTCGTGTAAAGTCATATGATGTTGTCACATGATGTCTAAAAAACAGTCATGTTTACTTAACGAAGCTCCCACCACCAAGAAATGAACCCTTCAGCAGCCTATGAATAGGAAGAACAGAGTCGGTCGTATAAAATATTTCAACACAAAACTTAATTTTAAAAACAGAGAGGAAGGCCCTGAAGTTAAATAACACTGCATTTTATCGTATTGTTTACTTACCGAACTCTCTGACGACTCCTTCTCCAATTCCTTTAGAGCCTCCTGTTACAATTGTAACTTTTCCTTCGTATCTCAGCTTGGAAGTGGCCATAGCTTCTAATGCCTGAGACACGTGATTTTGCTGTAGTTTATACTCTTACACCGACAAAAAGTCGTCTAAACCTCGCGTGATCAACCCTCAATTCACAGACACGATCCTCCTTCAAATTTATTTTCAGCCTTTTCAAAAGGCCTTTCAAAAGAGACTTGGGACCTAGAGATATTTCGAAAGGTTTGATGGGATATTTAGGTATATACTTCATGGTGGAAAGCCACAAGTGCACCGGTAATATAAACTCTGTGTAGTATGTAGTATTGTGTCTTCTCCCTAATAGCTAGTGGTAGTTACTAGTAGTTACTAGTAGTTACTTGTATTTACTAGTAGTTACTAGTAGTTAGTGGTAGTTATTGGTAGTTACTAGTAGTTACTAGTAGTTAATAGTAGTTCTTGGTATTTACTAGTAGTTAGTGGTAGTTATTAGTAGTTACTGGTAGTTACTAGTATTTAGTGGTAGTTATTAGTAGTTACTAGTAGTTGATGGTAGTTATTGGTATTTATTAGTAGTTACTGGTAGTTACTAGTAATTGCTGGTAGTTACTAGTAGTTACTAGTAGTTGATGGTAGTTATTGGTATTTACTAGTAGTTACTAGTAGTTGCTGGTAGTTACTAGTAGTTGCTGGTAGTTACTAGTAGTTACTGGTAGTTATTAGTGGTTACTGGTATTTAATAGTAGTTGCTGATAGTTACTAGTAGTTACTAGTAGTTGATGGTAGTTATTGGTATTTACTAGTAGTTACTAGTAGTTGCTGGTAGTTACTAGTAGTTGCTGGTAGTTACTAGTAGTT